GAGGAATCATTTAGTGAGGTTCAGAGAGGAATAATTTTGTGACAAATAAAATGGGGCTGAAAACATTTCTAGGAATAATTTTGGAATGGTTTTCGAAGAAATTCACTTAATCTATGCATCTCTATAGTTGTAATCTCTGTTTGTCTTTCCGATCATAACTCCAGAACCCCTTGACAGATTTGCCTCAAATTTTAAGGAGAACCACGGGAATGTTCTTCGCTCGGTTTTGAGATTCTAAGTTGATTGTGTAAAATTTTATAGAGAAGCGTCGGTAAACACCGTGAGTAACTGTGAGTACCCTGGGCAACGCTGGGTTCCCAAGTTAGTTTAAAATAACCCTTAAAAGTGTTGTGTTTTATCCCCTCTGAATGTACGTTAATTTTACGACTTAACGATTTCTTAACTTATCAATATACACAATACATGACAGTATAAAACGTGTAAACTTTTTGGTTAAAGATACGGTATTGATAATTCTTTTTTATCAACTTTTCAGAAAACAGAATATAGATTTCAAACTGAAATAAATCGAACTAACATCCCCCCCCCCCTTACATCTGAGGGACCCCTCTGTTGTGTGATATGATGATATGGAGATAGGAGGAAGAATATTGTAGTGACATCATTTCTCTGCTACCGTGAGAAGAGGAGAAAATGCGTCAAATCAAAACAATTTTTCAAACGAGAAGGGGGGGGGGAGGGGCAGCATTCACAAGGTAAGCCTCAATAAAGTCAAGCTACCCTCTCAATTATTGTATAAATGTTTTCAAAAGAGAAGGGGAGGAGGGGCAGCATTCACAAGATAAGCCTCAATAAAGTACAGTTTTCCACACAATGTTTAGTCGGTTAAAAACAAATCATCCAGTGCAGTCTTTGCTTTGTCAAGTGTAAAAAATATTCTTCATAGTAATATTAAACTAAACATTTACAACTCTTTATTTCGATCATTTATAGAATATGGAATTTCAGCCTGGGGAAGAAACAAATGTTCGGAAATGAGACAAATTCACATTTTACAGAAACGACCAATAAGATTAATTGATAACCAATAAGATAAATTGATAACCAATAAGATAAATTGATAACCAATAAGATTAATCGATAACTCAAAAGCCACGTCTCATAGTGATCCTCTTTTCCTTAAGTATAAGATTCTAAAGATTAATGATCTGGTACCTATATTTATGTATAAATATACACATAAACTTCTTCCTGCTTCTTTTAAAAACGTTTAAAAAAAGATTGGAAACTTTGAAAGATCTCTTAACTATCAACTTGACATTCTCAAAATGAGCTCATTACAGTATTTACCATCAAGCTCTCTTCTTAAAATGTGGAATAACCTGCCTCTTGACTTAAAAAGAAGCAACTCTCTAAGCATATTTAAAAATAGACTACTAAATTCTCTTTATGAAATTACATTACAATGTGTTATAAACCGAATTGCTATTCATGTAAAACTAATTAGATATGTTTTAATATGCTTTGATATTTGTTGTGTACATGTCAGAAAATTACTTTAAACTCTAGTTATTCGAATTAATGTATAAACTATTTTGCATAAGATAAAATCGTACCCTGATCTCTAATAGTTCTCCTTAAATCTATTTAATTGAAATGTGTTATTATCATTATTGAAATTGTATGGAAAAAATAATCAAAACAGCCAAGACCTATTTTCCACCTAATTGCTTTATACTTGTACTGTTAATATAATCATCAATTTGTAATGGTTGAATGTTATATAAATTATAATTTTATATCGTGTTTAGAAGTGAAAAAATCTCCATGAAAGGAGTTGATTCTTTGCAACAAAACTCTGATTTTCTAATCCCTATATCTTTGACACCCAATGTCGTAAACCTTTGTTATTTCAAACTTATGTTATTTGATCTTCCAAAAGTCATAGTTTGAATTATCAAAGGTCTACTACATTGGAATCCAAAGATATAGGGATTAGAAAATCACAGTTTGTTGCAAAGACTCAATTCCTTTGTAACGTATCTCTTCATTCACGTGTGGCAATACGGAATACGGATGCAATAAATATAGGAGGGAATATTACATTGCCTTGGCTTCCCTCGACCTTGTTGGATCCCAGAGTATCCCATCACTCCTGTATGCCGAGTCCATTAGCGCCTCATCCAAACAGGGTTCAGTCATGTGTTTGATGTATATTCTGAACCAATTGAAATAGTTTGGCGGTAACATCTATCTTTCTATCTATCTGCATTATCCAATCAGAGTTATGAATGCTTCTATCGGCGCTATCAGTAAATGGAAATATTACTTTTACTGAAACTATGGTTTCATGTTAGGCTCGTCATGCTTTAGGTCTCAACAAGGTCTTGGGAAGCCTTGGCAATGAAATATAATGAAGAGATGAATAGTTCCACCTTAGAAGTACAATATTAAGAAAATTCTCAACTTGTTGGATGAGACTGGTGAGGTAAACCTCCAGGTTTCCGGATTCCTCAAAGGTGAGAACTAGAATACATTGGTCCTGGGAGAGAGAGGATAGCAGAGATTCTTTTTCCAGGTATTCTAGGAAGGGGTTTTACTTGAGTATCTCCTTATTTTAAGCAAGACTACATACTAACCATAGATTAATAACAAAACAGAAAGAACACTAAATGTCGTCTTTCAAGATTTAGGAGGTTTTTGATCATAATAACACTGAGGCAGAAACCCAGCGCATGCTCTCATTCTGTCTTGTGATTGAACGCAGTGTGCGCGTAACGCCTTTGGGCTTCTGCTTCAGGGTCATGTGAACGAAAAAACCCTCAATCTTGAAAAGACGACATTTGAATTGTTATTAATCTATGATAGTGACCGTTTTCATCTATACGATCCAGGAGAAATAGAAGTCTCTGTAGAAATTACCATTTATTCCCAAAATGAAAAGGTATAAGAAAAACTTGAGCCGTGTGAAGACAGGGACGTGAAAGTTTTCTTTGTTGAGATCAACCTTTACCTTATCACCATTCACCATAATGGGCAATTTAAAGGTGGAAGGAGGCAGGGTTGAAAGTAAAAATAGTGCTAGATACTCTCGGAGCTATCTATTCATGTTGCCTGGTCAATGTTGAATTGAGCAATCTTCATCGTGTTCTCTTCAATCGGTCTGTGAGTAATATTTCAGATCAATCCTGTAACAATACGGACGGTGAGCCCCATTACCGCTTTGGCCGCTAGAACATCTTGCAATTCCTGAAAATTAGATGGAATAATGATATCAGGTGAATCCCCAGGTTAAGAATAGATCAGCGTGGTTGACTCCCGTCTCCACTAGAGCTCCCGCAAGCCTCAAGATGGTTTTTGACTTACTTTCTTTCCCTTCTCGTCATCAAGTTCAATCCAGATTTAATGTAGATGATAGTTTCTTCAGGAGCAGCTTCAAGTTAAATTCTGCTATGAACTGTAAAGCTTTGGTGTCTTGTTCTCCGGTGTATGTGTCAAGGTTGATGGTGAAGATTAGATGAGATGCTAGCAAGGTTGTAAAATATGGTTGGTTACTCTCGATGCGCTCCAATGTACGGAAAATGTCGTCTCCTAAGATAATTAGATAAAAACTCTCGCCTCTATAATCAGTGACGTCATAAGAGGTGTTTATCTGATACCTATCTATCTTAGGAGACAACATTTTCGTACATACGAGCGCATCGCGAGTAACCAACCTTATTAAACAACCTTGGATGCTAGATTCTTGAAACTTGAGGTCACCTTCTGCTCCAGTTTCGTATCCTGACTGGGGTTAACGTAAATGAATGATTCTTTCCTTCCTATCTGCTGGTTGAGTTAACCAACCATTCAATAATTCCCTCCAAGGAATATCATCGACGAAAGAGCACATCTCCAGGAGAAAATCTGAACTATCTCACTAACATTCTTTTGCCATACCTTACACTTACATCTCTCTTTTGAAATGCCAAAGACATAAACAATTCTTTTCGCAAATAGGAATTTGGACACATTTCTAAATATATACGCTATTTCTGAAGGTGCAAGCAAACATGAAGATAATTGTTTGGAATTTTGGCAATCAAAAGACCAGTAGTTTTTGGTATGGCTGATTCGACTGGGATTCCAGGGATACATCCAATATTGTGTAACACAAGAGGAGGCTGCGTGGGACAAAGACAATACAGAAGGAGTCACTTCATTCCAATGTTTATTGGAACACCCTGTAAAAGCCTTAAACACAGGATTCGAAGCCCTAAACATTTTTTCTATTTAAAGATCCGAAGGTTGAACTTTAACGGCTACATCAAATAGTCATTTAACACAATGATTTTAAACAAAATTCTGTATGTGTATGACTCTCCATGCAAGGAGTTCAATTTTTGATGAGATTAGTTAAAGGGACTGTAAAGGAAAAATAAAAGGGGGTATAGGATAAAACCTGAGAATCTCAGGAGTTGAACGATACATGTAAGACATCTATCTTATGTTTCTGTCTCCAGAAATTGACATAAAACGGTGTCAAAATTATACCAAAACGGACGTATGTAAGATTTTGTATAATTGTAGCATTAAACATATCATATTCAACAACTACGCAACCAATCTGAAAACGATTATATCCCACAGGAGCCTGAGAATCTAAGGTTTGCTCATATTATAGTTATTTATTTTGCATAGTCGTTTTCAGATTGGTTGCGGAATTGTTGAAAATGCTCTGTTTAATGCTAGAATGTTTATACAAAATCTGGCATATGTCCTTTTGGTATAATTTTGACACAGTTTTACGTCAATTTCTCGAGACAGGAACATAAGATAGATGTCAAAACCTGAAATTCTCAGGTTTTATCCAATACCCCCTTTCATTTTTCCTTTACAATCCCTTTAAGAGTTTCAAGGATGCCGTTGTAAATCCGGCATGTCCATCATTCCATGGAGAGTAACTTGAAATCACACTTACAATCCCACACAGTCTCATTCTTTGAGAACAATCCTGTATTAAATAACCTTAGCTTTTATACAATTAATGTCTAGAAAGATATTTTTAATAGAAATAGTATATTTCTAGGTTTAAGTTGTTAATATTTAAATATAATATTACGGTGTTACAGGTCGCTAAAGATGAGCTACCATTATTAAGCATTTGTTACTTTTTTTTTAACTAAAATACATCATCAGATATAAATTGAGCACAAAGGGGTATACATTTTTAACTCATGGGGGGGGGGGCTTTTATTAATTTCCAATTCTGAAGTTTTAACGATGGTGTATTTTTCGACCTACGCAAATCCGCTGTACTACACATCCGACCTACTACCAAGTGGTTTAACAGCTGCTATATGGACTTTTGGCTGCAGCGCCCTGCCCCTAACCTGGCCTAGCAGCGGCGCTCGGCCGCGCCTTTTAGTCTGTCCTAGCCGCAGCGCTCGGCCAAGAAATTGTCTTAACCTAACCTAACCCTCAAATAAAACAAAAATAAACAGCTGGCGTAGGTCCGATATTGCATTAATTCGGAAAGTTAGTAGGTCAGAAGTTCAGTAGGGCGGATGTTGCGTATAGACGATGTAACATTACCGTTTTAACACGTACAAGATTACACAAGAGTTTAATTTACAGTTCATTTCCAACTGTTTTTAATCATCAAAAACAAAAACACAATTTTTAAATATGATATTGAGAAAAATCATCAAAATATAATAATATTACTTGAGCTTAAAACAATCCTCCGCCGAGCGAAGGGAGTCGGTAGAAAATATTTACAAAAATCGGAGTGGGTCGGAATGAAAAACAAGTACATTATTTCTTGGCTAGTTTCTCCTTTGCCTTCATAGGAGTACGGGAAGCACCATCATTTTCTCGATTCATGAAGTTGTACTTTTTCCGCCTAAACAGATCAGAAAATAGAAAGAAGTTAACAATGAAAAAAACCGGGTCAATTGAATCTAAAATTGGATCCAGGGACCCGAATCAAGCATCAATGAAAATATTTTTGTTAAAATTGTTCTCAAAACACAAATCTCAAGTGCTGACAAATGAAAGATTTATCTTCTCTGATCTTTCATTGGACATAGTGTTAGTATAAAAAGAATTAAGATTTGTATTAAAAACTCGCATTAATGCAATAAATTAGAATGAGCAGGATTCAACAAGTTTTCCTAGTTTTACTTTAGGAAAATTACTTTTTTAAATTGGGATTTCTCTATAAAAGTGAAATGTGGATGTGGTCTTTTTGCAGAAACAAACGGAGGAATTTGTCCGATTTTAATATGTAGAAAACGATGATATCTTCCGCACTATTGCTTGGATAAAGATTTTGAGGATAACGTTGTGAATCGGGCACGTCCCTCTTTAAAGTACCTTTAAACTTAAAAAACAATAAAAAAACATCTTACTTGAAAGCTGACCCAAACGGGTTTTTGAGAGGGGTCATTCTTTCCCGTAGACTTTTTTTCTTCTTCGGGGTGTTGGTGGAGTCTAGAAGAGGGGTTTTAGAGGACAGAGTAGATTTAGAGGATCTTGTAGAGGTTTTAGATATATTTGGTGTTGCTTCTACTAGAGCAGAGTCCAGAGAAGTTAAACTTGTGTCATGTTTCGATCTATTCAAACTTTTATTCCTAAACATCAAAACAGAAGAATTAGATAAACATACTAATTATGCATTATGCAGGGCTGAGTTTGAAGTGTCTAAAGACCTTTGTTCTTTTTGAACTTACCAACTGACGTACTTTTGTCCTGAGTGTTATGGTTTGGTACATTTACATTGTTCAACTGAAATAATACATTTTATCCTTAAACCTTTGCAACCTGATAACATGGGTTTCGATATTTCAAACCAGAGTCCAGAGTTCATGTATGAAATATTAAAGGTCTACGTCACCAGGTTGGAAAGATTTAAAGATTTCACAACTAATTTCCACATTTTGCTTCCATAATTATTGCAAAATTTTACCTGCTAGGTGTTGGAGGCCCAGGTTTATTATAGGAAATATTTCCAGCTTCTTTCTTATATCGTTTACTCCCTCGGACACTATCCCGACCCAAGGAACTAGTGTCAGACTCCTTAAATAATAATATATAATAATTATAATAATATGTATAATGTTAATAATAATAACAACATTAAAAATGATAATAATATTAATAATGATAATAATATTAATAATGTTAATAATAATAATATTTATAATGATAATAATATGTATAATGTTAATAATAATAATAATATTAATAATGATAATAATATGTATAATGTTAATAATAATCATAATAATATGTATAATGTTAATAATAATAACAACATTAAAAATGATAATAATATTAATAATGATAATAATATTTATAATGTTAATAATAATAATATCATATCATATCATATCATATCATACAGCTAGGGATGCGTCCAACAGCTCCTTGACCTACAAGGGGTATGCCATCACAATCCCCTATAGGTGAAGGCTTTTCAGCCTGACATAGTTTATAATAATAATAAAAAGAATAACGTTATTGTTTATTTATTAATGATAATTATAAGTTTAAAGTTCCAGCCTCGAGGCAATTTTCGACCTGACCTTGCATGCGTTAATTGGCTATCACTGTTATGTTAATTAAGATATTACGCTAATCTAGACGCCATTTAAGTTGCTTCGAAATTAAATCCTCCAATGTTTTGTTAATTAAAATATTACGCTAATTTAGACGCCATTCACTGCGATTTAATGGTCTCACGCTCTCAAGCAAAAATCGTTGAGAATTTTGCCAATTACTTCTAAAAAACCAAATCTAACAAGAAGTGCTTTACAGTGCTAAAATGTACATGTAAAGGGCTACAGAAAAACATAAGTGAGTTAGAGCGGTAAAATCTAAGCTTAGGGAGTTGCGACACTTCAAAGTCAGCCCTGTCTTAAAAATTGATGAGACTATTTATAAGGAGGCTGAATCTATGTGCATTAAGTTACTCCGAAATTAAATCCTCCAATTTTTGCAAATTTTTTTTTAATGGATTCCCTATTTTGTGATGAATGATTATTCAAAGTTTTATTTTTGGCATTTTAACCATAATATAAGTACATTTTCGAAAATATTCTACTACAGTAGTTTTTCTTGAAAAAAGTTCATGCACGACATAAGCTTATAGGTTTTAAAACTAATATGTATAGCAAGCTACTGATTTTTTAAATATTAAATTGTTAAATTTAACATTTAACCATTATGATTCAATTCGGCGTCGAATTCAAACAATCGACGGAAGAACTTTCATGCAAATTTTCGAACATACACAGGAACAGAGCCAGAATAAAAAAGCGCTAGACCATGCATTACGTGGTAGTAAATTTTGTAATCTAAATAATTGCTTTTACTTAATTTGTACTATTTATAATGAAAACAAATATCCAGTATCCATCATGCTTGCTAATCAAATCAGACTTTTAGAAGTCTTAATTGTTGAAGCGACAACTAAAACTAGCATGCTAGCATGCTAACAATCTAAAAATATGAGAAATGTGCAACACCCCCCCCCCCCGCATGTGCTAATCTAAAGATATCTAGACTATATAAAGACTAGAATTGACTTATAAACTTACATAAACCCCTCGCCTGGGAACTCGTTGGAAATACGGCTAAAACACATACAATAGGTTAACTAAAGGAATTATTTATCATTTGGAAAATAATTATCAATTGGATTTAAATCTTTAACAATCGCCACAATCCCTATATCTTTACAAACTGATGCCGTAAACCCTTGATATTTTACATTTTTAAATTCTGTTTAAAACAGTTATAATAAAAGGATTCTAAAACTATCGTTTCAGTGTGTTAATGTTGGTAATATTTATGATGCAAACTGAATATCAAAAACCAATTCTGAATTATTAGTTTAAATATTATTACCGACAGATCTAGATGCGGTTTCTTTTCCTGATCCTGATCAGGGTTTAAGGTTTGCTCCAAGTTCGGTTTCTTTGTCTCCGGGTTGTATGTTTGATCCAGGTTCGGTTTCTTCATCTGGTCAGATCTCCGTTTTCGTGAGATCCGTTGATAGTCAGGAGATAGGACTACCGACTCCTCATGACGCTCCTGAATATTGAGATATAAGATATGGATAATTTCTCCTGAAAGTAGACTATCTGCAAAATCTGAGATTGGAATATTGAATTGATATTTCTAGATAAATGTCATCTACTTTATTAATGATAAATCTTGATTAATTTAAATTAACTTTTGTTCCTAAAATACAAGCAATACATATTTAGAATATTTTACAGTCTTGTTAGAACATTAAAGGGAGTGACCGGCAATGTATGGTAGTTGAACTGAGAATGTAGTGTTGTGGAGAAATTTTCTAGGATTCATGTGAGACATATAAAACGTTTTAAATATATATAATTACTGAGTTTGAGCGTTAAGTTGACGTTGAAATCATCCATTTGGGTGGTTAAGTTTGACAATCGATTTTTTTATATTATTAAATAACATCGACAAAAATGTAAAAAAATTCTACAGTAAACTAATTAGATGTTTAGGAACATATTTCTCAAATGACATTTTTTGTGGGGTGGGTGGAGATTGTGTGACACCAGTTCTCGTTAGATCACTGAAGTTAAGCACACTGGACCACAACCAGTAACTGGATTGGTGTCCAGACTGGTGTTCACGGGTTCGATTCCCGTACTCCACACAAACCTGTGGTTTCAAAAACATCTGAAGCCGACATCTGGTTTAGCAGTTATGACCACCTGACGGATGTAGGAGGACAGAGGGGCGGCTGTCAACAACTCTCGCAGCGAAAGGGTGCGTGCTTTCTACTCAACAAGAAAGAAGCTTTCAGTGAATTGATCCAAGTGAATGATGATGAAGAGAGGAATGGTGGACAAGCAGGGAGAGTGTGGTTGCCAGCTATAAGTACCTGGGGGTATCCAATCCTGGCTTACAGAAGTTAGGGAACAATGAGTGTGACGTTTGCGGTCTTGCTGACCAAAAATGCACCATAAAACGTTGCATAGGTCTTAAATGATTGCTAAAAAAAATTCTGCACAATACTATTTTCTCATATATTACCATACATTGCCGGTTACTCCCTTTAACCAAGCTTTAATCATATTCTTCAAGCTTTCAAAATTATGATTTATGGAAAAAGACATTAATGCGAAAAAATGATATAAAAATGTTATTTATAAGTGCAATGAAAGCATTCCTTGATATGTTTGATCATTGAGAGCTGACTAATACTATTTTTTACGCTCAATGAATGTTACAAGTATATTCAGAAGAATAGATAGTTTCAACAAATACCGATAATATTAAGATTGATCAACATTTTTTAAATTGTTTTCAACTGAACCATCATACATTATCATATTGTACTTTGGGTTTGAAAATAAATGAATAAATAATAAGGGCTCATGAAAATTATATCTCAATAATATTTTTAAAATATTTCTTGCTTTACTATACCTGCTTAATATGATCATGCAGTCCTGTGCACTCTTGTTTCATTTGCCCATGTGCGCTCTAAATTATATCAAATCTATAATTTAACAAAGATATCAGATCATTTTTTTCTGTGGGATCGTCGAAGGTTGGAATGGGATTTAATCATGTCAAGAAATGACAAAATATTTATGAAAATAAAATTCCATCCCAGTTTTAAAACCCTTGTACAAAGGTAGTTCTCATAAAAGTGTTGACATAGCGAACGTTTGAAATATCAAAGGTTTACACCATCAGGTTTCTAAGATAAAAGGATTAATCAGCTCCATTACCTGGCATGGTAGTTTAGTTGGGTTACCGCCGGCGATAGTTGCCCGCCTCTCCATCTTCGGCGCATCTATCGTGAACGCCACCGGTTTTTGAACCGGTTTCCGGTCGAGCAGGGGCCCATGAGAACGAGTCCGGGAGGAGGGTGAATCCAGGTTAAGATTTGAAGTCCCCCTGGACAGCCGGGTGATGGGCGACGGTGCGCCGGGTGATGAATTAATAATCTCAGTTTTCCTGCTCTGCTTAACCTTGGATTGCCTTACATCGTCCTCCGTAATATCCGAGTCCGTGCAGTACTGATATTCCACAGGATACGTAGATTTCAGATGGGGCAGGCACAGAGTGTTCCGACGGGATAACTCCGACATCCTGCTCTCATCCGCGTTCACGTCACAAATCCCCTCCTTCAGATCGGTGAGATAGGAGTTGGAGAACATCTCTCCAGCCTCCTCCTCACAGTTGAACAGGGACCCGGAGATATTGGGAGGAGGACGCGTTCTCCGTCCTCCCATCCTCGTCTCACTTACTGTCCTCCCGGTTTTAGCCCTACCCGGAGTATGAGCCGAGGTTGGAAGTTTGAAGAGACTGTCCTGCTCATCGGGCAGGTTGGATGTGGATTGACGAACAGCTCTGGTAGCGAATCCAGGGTGGGAGTTGAGACTGGAGTTACTAGATCTGGTGGAGATACTGTCCCTCTTATTGTACTCTCGGAGTTTAATGTCGGAGTAGGTCAGCTGAGTTGTGAGGCGACGATTCTCAGTCTTTACCTGAAATAAGATGGCTTAAAGAGACAGTTAAGTGTAGTTTTAAGTCTCCATGCAAAGATGGTACCGTTGAAACCTCAATCTGATGAAAAATGTGGGAAAGTGTTTATTTCTCCATTGTTTCTTATAAGCAAAATATGCACTTGTCCCTTTTGAAGAGATATGACAAATGAAAAAAAAAACATGTATATCTAATTCATGTTCAGCTCAGTAATAGGAAACCTCTAAAAAGGTTAGACTTCAGAGACGACTCAATGGAATCTTTTTTAATGACCCTGCGTCCGTTTGTTCATTTCTACTTTTTATCGTTTCATAATCTCTGTTTGTCTGTTTGTTTGTTTGTTTGTTTGTCTGATCATAACTCATGAACCCCTCAAACCGAGAACCACGGAAATATTCTTAGCTTGGTTTTGAGATTCTAAGTTGAGTGGATCGATTTAGTTTTTCACGTTAAAATCGGCCAAGTGCGAGTAAACGACTGAAGTAACTGAGTAACCTGTGGCCGAATTTAAAGAATTTGAGCGGCGGTTTAAATTTAAGCCGCGGCTTAAATATTGTTGGTTCCACTTAAAAATTGTATCAAATGTTTCAAGATTTAAGCCGGCGCTAAATTTAAACCGGGTTTTGGCGGATTTTGGCGGATTTAAACCGCGGCTCAGATTCTTTAAATTCCATCTCTAGACAACGCTGGGTTCCCAAGCTAGTATGATTATACGATGAATTAAATACCTGAACAAGTTCTCGTTTAAGATTGTCAGTGCTGGATTTATCTTTCCGGCTCTAAACAGTAAACATTAACTATCTTAATCTTTTTACAGTAATCAAATCAAATCAAACGTTCTACCCCCCCCCCCCCTATTCTTCTTTGTAATTGATAAATTTGAAATTTCATTGATCCAGTGTTTAATATGTTGAAAGCCTTTATACAGTTTTTGAATCCCCCCCCTTCCAACTCATCTGAAGTTTACATTTGAATTTAAATGTTTAATATAAAATCCCAGATAATATATATATAGATACGCTGGCAGGTAGAAATTTGAGGTCTTGAGAAAAAGTGTAATCAGCACCATCTCTGTCGTACGCATGGCATTTAATCCTCTGGATTGTTGCTAATTTATCACTTTGTTTATGCGTGATAACACTAAATGCGTACTATAGTATCAACAATGTATACTGCATATTGTACTTAATGAAAAAAGTTAATCAATGCAAATAAAACTGAGGTAGGAATTTGACTAGACAAAGTTAAAATGTGCAAGTTGTACTGAATGGCATACGTAAATTAACGCAATTTAAATAAAAATTGTGACTATAAAAGTACACCGAATCTAGGACAAAGTACAACTGATCTGATCATAACGTAAACAAAACGCGTACTGTATGTTTGTGTTACCTAGAAATTTAATTTTATTGGTCAAACAGGTCCAGATAGCAACACTTGAACTATACAGGATGCAATACGCGTACTGTATTTTTATTAAACACAAATGCGTATTTCCTACAGATGGCAGCAGGGGGAGAAAGGAATATAGAAAGTAATCAATTTGCTTTAGATGTCTCTCCTTGCACTTTATCTCAGAGGTACACAAATTAGTTGTCTGCTACAAGCAATTTAGGAAGGAGGTTTCTACCTGCCAGCGTATCTATATATATATATTATCTTTGTAAAATCCTAAAACCTACCTCGTTCAATTCCATACTGAGGTTCTCTTTCTGTTGCTTTACTGACTTTATCAGATCTTTCGCAGCATCATACTTTTTACTAAATATTATTATTATTTAAACGACAACCCATCAATCATTACCGCCCAAAGACAGTACACTGCAGTACAAAAGATGCGTACACCTCTGAAATAACTTTCCTTGCATTATAACCTTGATCCTGATCATCTATAATGCTCCTTAAATTTACTGAAGTACCAATATTGGATAAGCGGGATCAAGCAATCAAGATTTACGATACTCCACACAAATGAACCCGATCTCTAGCCTGGTCTGGTCCAATCTATTCTGTCCTGTCCTGGGTCATTCCATGTCAAGTCAACCACCTATGGACGGCATGTCACAGATTTTGCTGAAATTTTGCATACAATTTGGGATATGAAAAAAAATTCCGGAACCCGAAGATGAGCGTTCTAAGACCTCGGAGGCCGGAGATATGGCTCCGGAAAGTTTCCGATAATTCGAGATTTCGAGGACGGCCTCTATATTTCAAATGGCTCTAACTTTTTTGTTTTAGAAGATAGCTCCAAAATTTTTTCAATTTTGAATAGTTAATCACAAGCCCCTTATTTGGCGTTACAAGAAAAATATCATTAAAATATTATTCACAGGTCATAATTGCATTTCAGCCTCCGTTTGAGGATGTGTACCAATTCCGATTGTGTTGATTTTTTTATATATACTGCCATAAGGAAGGGGTTAGAAATGTTTTTTTATATGTATTTGTTCCCGTTGAGGAGGAGACCTGATAATGTAATGCTAATTTAGATTTCTTAATGTAACTAATAGGTAGTATTTCTGCTTAATTATTGTTATTGTGTAAAAATAAACCTACACCAAAATATTAATATTACACACATGCATTTTTAGTGTACACTAGTTGAAATAAATACTATTGATGGTCTCTTATTATAATTTAGATTCACTTACTCACATAAAAGTATCAAATATTAAATATTTATCAATGTTTAGGAGAGATAACAATAATTAAGCAGAAATACTACCTATTAGTTACATTAAGAAATCTAAATTAGCATTACATTATCAGGTCTCCTCCTTAACAGGAACAAATACATATAAAAAAAACTTTTCTAACCCCTTCCTTATGGCAGTATAAAAATATATAAAAAAAATCAACACAATCGGAATTGGTACACATCCTCAAACGGAGGCTGAAAATAAAGAAATGCAATTATGACCTGTGAATAATATGCAAAATAAGGGGCTTGTGATTAACTATTCAAAACTGAAATTTTTTTGGAGCTATCTTCTAAAACAAAAAAGTTAGAGCCATTTGAAATATAGAGGCCGTCCGCGAAATCTCAAAACATCTGAAATCTTCCAGAGCCATATATCCAGCCTCGGAGGTCTCTGAATGCTCATCTTCGGGTTCCGGGATTTTTTTTTCATATCCCAAATTGTATGCAAAATTTCAGCAAAATCTGTGACATGCTGTCCATCAGGTGGCTGACTTGACATGGAATGACCCTCCTGTCCTTTGCTGTCCTATCCCATTACTTCCAACCCCGACAAAGGACGAATATTCTTTATAGGCTCAAGCGGAGATTGAACCCCGGAAACAATCCAACCCGTCTACCACAAATTAACTCTTCTGCTGTCTGTCAGACTATAACTATGTCCTCACCTAAGTTTGATGTAGTTCTCATTTGTTTCCTGATATTTGGTCTGATAAAGCTGAACTTCTTCCTTGTGCAAGGATTCAAGGGAACTTATCTGTATAATAAAATATATTTAAAATACAATTTTAGACTTTATTAAGTTTTAAGATTCAGCACTCAGCAGGCATAAAGAAATTAACACTTAAAAAAATAACTAAAAAAGCTAAAGGTTAAAAAGAGTATCGATAAAAATCGTATAAATATCCTATTCACTCGAAATAACTCCTACAGTTCCTTTAACTGACCTTGTCGTCCATCTTGTGATTGAACCCCTTGATCTCCTCCTCCAGCTTCTGGATCCTGAGCTCCTTCTCATGCAACTTCTCCGCCAACTTCACCTTCATCTTCGCGCTAGCATCCTTAACAAATCATATCATATCAAAATCAAATCATACCTTATACCGTATATCAAATCAAAGTATATTAAATCAAAGTATATCAAATAAAAGTGTATCAAATAAAAGTATATCAAATCAAAGTATATCAAATTAAAGTATATCAAATCAAAGTATATCAAATCAAACCAAACCAAACCAAACCAAACCAAACCAAACCAAACCAAACCAAACCAAACCAAACCAAACCAAATCCAACCAAATCAAATCTTCTCATATCGAAATCAAATCATAGCATATCAAAGAAAATCAAATCATATCATGTCAAAATCAAATCATAGCATATCAAAGTAAATCAAATCAAATCAAATCATATAAGACTTTTAACTTCGATACTAAGACTAAATTAGCAATAAGTAAGACGACTTGTATTCCTATATTTATTCTAAGTATATCACTGTATCAAAATAATTACCTTCGACATTTCTGCACGAATATCCTGTAGCCTTGCTTCATACTTCTTCTTTTGTATCTCCAGGGCTTCCTTTGTATCTCTACTTCCTAAAATATTAAGTATTTTAATATCATCATTTTATGTAATCTTATTAACTACTTATATATATATATTATATTAATATTATTAACTACTTCCTTTTATCACGAGGGCCTCTATTATATCCTAACTTCTTCTACGTCTTTATTTCGTTGTATCCGTACATACTACATTATATTATAATCTTATATGTCTGAATAAAAAAGTTACATGTTATTGAACTTGTATACTTTTTCTATCATATCAAACTTCCATACTTCTTTGTATGCTTATATTCTACTTCATAGTATTATCTTCTAAAAATTCCATACTTCTTCTATATCTTTACTTCTTTGTATCCTTAAATTATTTAATTCCATGCTTATTTCATAGATTCAGGACCTTCTTTATATCTTTACTTCCTGAATTATGACATTATTATCTTAGTAAACTTCCATACTTCTTCTTTTGTATCTCAAGGCTTTATATCTTGCTTCCTACTATAATATTATTATTTAGGTTTACTTCATTCCATTAGTTTCCTTACTTCTTTGATAAAAATATTATTAGCTTAATAACATCCATATTCCATACGTTTCCATACGTTTTAAAAATTCCTTTCTTCGTTCATTTATTATTAAAATAAACTTCTAAACTTCTTCCCCACCTTGTCTTCACTTCTGTGTACCCTTACTTCTTCAGATATTTTATTTGTATTCTTTACTTCTTTGTATCCTTAAATTATTTAATTCCATGCTTATTTCATAGATTCAGGACCTTCTTTATATCTTTACTTCCTGAATTATGACATTATTATCTTAGTAAACTTCCATACTTCTTCTTTTGTATCTCAAGGCTTTATATCTTGCTTCCTACTATAATATTATTATTTAGGTTTACTTCATTCCATTAGTTTCCTTACTTCTTTGATAAAAATATTATTAGCTTAATAACATCCATATTCCATACGTTTCCATACGTTTTAAAAATTCCTTTCTTCGTTCATTTATTATTAAAATAAACTTCTAAACTTCTTCCCCACCTTGTCTTCACTTCTGTGTACCCTTACTTCTTCAGATATTTTATTTGTATCATTCTAGTAAACTTCAATACCAGAGAATTCTAATTTCCTATATTATCACTTAGAAACTTTTATTTTACAAAAAACCAAATTCAGCTATAAAAGCTTTAAAAAATTGCACTTTTGAGGAGAACAGAAAAATATGTCCAAATAATACATAAACTAGCTGTTCAGAGTAATTATATTGTCAATACTATCACAAACCTTTGCTCTCTGCCTCCTGTTCCAGATCACTCAGCTTGATCTCCGCCTTAGCCAGCTCCTGCTCCAATCCTGACACCTTCTCCTGCAACCTGGAAACCATCTCCTTCTGCGCCTTCTCCTTCTCCTCCATCCTTTCTGTCTCCTCCTTTAGCTTACCCTGCAACTCCTGGAATAGGTTTATGTAAAACTAGGAATTTGATGAAAATTTGGATTTTTGATGTGAAATTAAGATTTTTTATGCGACATTCGGATTTTTGATGTGAAACTGGGATTTTTGATGTGAAATTATAATTTTAATGAAAAATTAAGATTTTGATGTGAAATTAGGCTTTTAGTGTGAAATTAGGGCTTTGATGTGAAATTAGACTTTTGCTGTGAAATTAGGACGTTGATGTGAAATTAGGACTTTGATGTGAAATAAGGGATTTGATGTAAAATTAGGATTTTGATGAAAAATTTAAAAGAAATGTGTAAATTATTAAGCAGAGAAGCCGTTAATGAAAATTAACAGTTTAAAGAACCAAAAACATGGATATCTAATTCATATTTGATTTGACTAATCAAATCAAATCAGACTGTTAGGAACGTCCTACACCCACACGGCGATACGACTAAATCAAGGTTTAAATATGGTGCTGTTGTAAATCGTGAACTGCCATCTTTGAATAGGGCTCCACTTGAAATTTCGCTTCCAATCCCTTTAATATTCACCTTGATTTGGTTCTCCTGGTCCTTTGATGCCTTGATAAAATCATCCTTCATATTGTTTGTGTTGGTAATGAGCTCGGACACACTAGCTGCCAAACTCTCCTTAGTCCTAGAGTAGTCACTAGATTTGAGTTATGTTGGATATTGTTTTTTGATTATTTGATAATTCTGACTTATAACTTGATTCGACACTTCTAATTTATTTAAATATTCTTACCTTTATTTGGTAACTTTTTTCTGATTTTATGATTTTAATTAGTAATTTAAATTTTTTAAATTATTTGTTTTTAATTTAAAATTTAGTCAGTTATTTTTTAGGATTTTATACTTATTAATATATACACATCTTCAAAATGATTTGATAGGTTTTTTTTGTCTGCGTTGTTTTGACCATTCGTAAAATTTAAATTAAATTTTTTTCAACTTTATTATTTTCGCTCATTTCTTGGACAAAAATACTTCAGTTGATTCCGTCCTAATAATTAAAAAAATGTCTCAGCTTAATTTAAATTTCTCACCTCTCAGTTTCTTTCAGCTGTTTCTCTTGAGATTTGCTTTTATTTTTCAACTTTTCAAATTCTACTTTACACTCTCTCAGCTGCGTTATCTCGGTAGAGAGTGTCTCTAGTTCAGATTTACAGGTTTTTAACTGTTCCAATTCTGATTCTAGCTGAACCACCGGGGCAGATTTTTCCTAGAGAAAACGGGAATTTTCGTTAAAAAATGTAAAATAATTTCGAAACATTTGGCGTCGAAAAAATGTATTTACAGATTAAATATTCCAATACTTGTAAGTTTTTAAAATTTGTAAATTTTTGACATGTTTTTAAATTATTCTGTAAATTGACCAGTAATAATTAATACCAGTTGTGCACAAAATCCCAAATGTGAGTAAAACGTCAATTATAATGGGAATTTATATTTTTGAGATCCTTAAAATAGTATTAAATTAAGTCTTCAGTTAATACTGCGGAAAGTGGTCGAAATTGCATCTTTAAGTCGCAGTAAGCAATCGCGTACCAAAACTTGAAATTTGAAAGGAACATGTCTCAAGGCACTCAGTTCACCCCGATAATCTATGCGGATTTAAGTTAGTTACGATGTAAAAAAATGCCATATCAGGGTTTTCGGGATATATTATTCTTAACAAAATTGCGAGCACAACAACTCAAAAATTGCAAAACCTAATGAAAAATGCAGGTGGTATGTAAATTCAAATTTATTAGGGGAAGAATGAATTTCAAGTGGAAAATCCCCCAGAATAATCAACAATAAGAAAAATGTCTCAGAAAATTTGTTATCACAGACAATGTTTAACGATTTAAGTACGAGTGAATCTAACCTGAGCTTCTTTAAGTTTGATCTCTAGCTCCGTCCTGACTTCTTCAGTTTGTACCTTCTCTTTCTCTAGTTTAGTAAACTCATCCTTTACCTGGATACAGGAACTGATTTAACAACCAAATTAATTAAAACTGTTTAGAATTAAGAACTGATAACTCGCCATTAACTTTTATTTTTAACAATGTATCTTTTTTTACCACAACTTTTACCATCTCAAATCAAATAAAATCGAATCGAATTGAATCATGAAGTTTACGGTTTGCTTGAGGCTCCATCAAACAGCCTAGAGGTTTAATTCCCGATTGTGTAACGGGTTTTCAGCCCGGATTGGATTTTGATTATGACCTTTGCTATAAATTTTCCATTAATTTTTTTTTCAAACTATTAATTTGACATATCAAAAGGTTTACATCTTCAGGTTGTAAAGGTATAGGAATTAACTAGAGTTGCAGGCGACTATTCAGTTCTTTAGTCTCATCATTTTTCCATCATTCTTCTATCATTAGATAAATATCACTCAATTGGTCCTCAAATGTATTATTTACTCTTAGAAAACTTTTTCAGGTGCTTAATTTGAACAAGCATATCTGAACATATCTGAAAGAGCACTTTAGGGGAATAAGAAAGTGATTAAAACTAGAGGAAAGTGGATTAAAGATAAAATATGATTTTCACCTTCAAAGTCTCCTTTTTCTCTGCCTCCAGTGCTAGCATGAGATTCTCAACTCTCTTCTTATTCTCCTTCTCTCCCTCGATCAGATCTCTCTGATAATCTGCCAAATTCTTTTCAAGTTTCTCCAGTTTGGATTCCAGCTTATCCTTCTCATTATCCCGCTCTTCAAGCTGAGCCTGGAGAAACTCAACCTTGTGCTGAAACTCTGTGTTCTCTCCAGCAATGGAACTCAAGGAACAAAGTTGTTTTTCTAGTTTTCGGTTCTTCTCCGCTAACTCTCGGATCTCATTGCTCTTGGTAACTCCGGTCTCATCTAGGGACTCCTGAAGCTTGGAGTTCTCGATCACCAGCTTGAGTCTGTTAGCCTCTATCTTCTCTAAACTCTCTTCAAGCTTCTTATTTTCAATCTCCGTTGTTACCCGTTCTTCTGCCAACATGTTTTCAGTTTCAACTAAACTATGCTTTAATTCTTCACAACGATTTCTCAATTTCTCCATCTCCATCAGGTTGAGAGATACAACCTCGTCATGTTTACTCTCCAACTCCTGATACTTGTAATCCCTGTCAGATATCATGTTTCTCAGCTCATCTCTCTCCAAGCAGTGTTCCTCGCACTCGGCTCTCATGATCTCAATCTGGTTCCGGAGCTGGAGAATCTGTTCACCAAGTTCATCCTCTGCTTCCCTGGTTACCCGGAGCTTCTCAGCGTACGCGTTCATCTGCTCGTTCAGCTCCAGGATCTCGGACTCAAGACTAGATTTAGACTCGGAGATTTGATGGGTCTGGCTTTCAACCTCAGAATATTTCCGGCTCATTTCTGTTAGGTCGTCTTCCAGTTTTTGTTTTGCCTTGATCTCGTTGTCGTACTCAAACTCAATTCGTTCTATTGAACCCATCAGTTCCCTCACTTGCTCAACAACTTCCATGAGTTCCGCATCTTTGCTCTCTAGACTAGACGATTTAACTTTCAGTTCGCTTTCCAGGACGGATATCTTTTCAGAGTTATTCTCCAATGTTGAACCGAGCTTTTTTATTTGAGATTCCAAGGTTTGAATCTCTTCGGTTTTAGTTTCTAGCTCGTAAGTTGCTTCTGAGAGTTTGACTTTGAGCTGACCCATTTCATCTCCTGCTCGTCCCAGTTCTTCATACCGTTTGTTCATTTCAGTCTCTAACTCGAGTTTAACATCTTCCTTTTCCTTGGTTAGTTCTTCGATCTTAAGTTTGGATTTCTCAAGAAGTGCATTTTTCTCATCAAGCAAGATACGTTCTAGCACCGCCTTATCATTACTTTCCAGCTCAAATTTATGCAGTATTTCCGCCTTTTCTTTACTTTCCAGTTCGAATTTCTGAAATAGTTCCGCCTTTTCTTTACTTTCCAGTTCGAATTTCTGCAATAGTTCCGCCTTTTCTTTACTTTCCAGTTCGAATTTCTGAAATAGTTCCGCCTTTTCTTTACTTTCCAGATCGAATTTCTGCAATAGTTCCGCCTTTTCGGTAATTTCTTCCTCGAATTTCTGCAGAAGTTCCGCCTTTTCTGTACTTTCTTCTTCAAATTTCTTAAGTAATTCGGACTTTTCGGTACTTTCCAGCTGAAGTTTTTGCTGCAACTCTGCCTTAATTGAAGTTTCCTGATCAAGTGCCTGCTTCAGCTCCGCCTTGGATGAAGCTTCACACTTAAGTTTTTGCTGTAACTCCATCTTGACTGACATTTCTTGATCCATTTTTTGTTGGAGCTCCGCCTTAACAGAAACTTCTCGCGCTAGCGACTTTTGCAGCTCCGCCTTAACTGAAGCTTCTTTTACCAGTTTCTGTTGTAACTCTTCCTTTACTAAAGTTTCATGTTCCAGTTTCTGTTGTAGCTCCACCTTAACAGAAACTTCTCGTGCTAGTTGCTCTTGTAGATCCGCCTTAACCGAACCTTCCTGTTCCAGTGACTTTTGCATCTCTGCTTTAACTGAAGCTTCTTTTACCAGTTTCTGTTGTAACTCTGCCTTAACTGAAGTTTCATGTTTAAGGGTTTCTTGAAGCTCTGTCTTAGATTTTACTTCTTTTATGAGTTGCTGTTCTAATGCTTGCTGTTTCTTCTCATATTCCTTTAAATCTTCCTGACATGAGTTCAATTTGATTCTGGTTTCGTTAAAAGCAACGGATTCTTGTGAAATCTTCTCTTTAAGGTGTTGAGTTTCTGCTGTCAATTCTTCTTTAACAACCTTCAGCTGCTGGACTTCAGCAACTGTTTCTGACAGCTGTTGATTGACAGCTTGCATCTGTTCATTGCTAGTTTTAATCCTGGCTTCTTGTTCAGCTCTCTGTTCTTCAACCTGGCGTTCTAGACCTTGCTTCTCCTCTCTCTCAGAATCCAACTCAATCTAGAGCACACAATATTCGTCATGACGATAATAATGATGATAATAACTTATAAACAATATATAATAATAATAATAATGATAATTATAATGTGGTAAACTGGTAAATTACATAAAAAGATTAAAACAAAAATAAATGATTCCGAAATGTCAGACTTTAACAACCCATCAGGCAAAGTAATCGAAGGAAATGATTTTTCAAGCCCTCCCCCCCCCCCCTCCCTCTATACCTGAAGATTTTCTATTTTCTCCTGAAGTTGGGGTAGAACTAGATCCCCCATATTCTCCCCTTCTGGGCTTCCTAAATTCCGCCTCAGTCCCTAAATAAAATCAAGATTTTAATATAGAACTAGGAAGAAATAATTAATTTTTTGAAAACTTAATAAAATTAATTATTATAAAATTCTGAAGAAAATACGGATATAAAAATGTTCAATGTGACAAACATAAAGTCAGTATTAAAAGTACAACAACAACTCTGTGTCTCAAACAAGTTTAAATCTCAAAGGGAACCCAATGTTAAGCCCCCCAGACTGCCTTCAGATTGCCTGGGATAAAGAGATTCCTGGTAATTTTGTGTCAGGTGTCCGGGACTCAGAGATCTCTGGTAAAGGTATCAGCCAACAAAAGAATTATTATCAACTTGCTGACAAACATATCTTTAAAAAAAACCTGAAGGCGGTTTGGGGGTTCCATGTCGGGTTCCTTTTAAAATCTTGTTATTTTCATTATCATTATTAATATCTTACCATGTTGAGTGTAGGACTAAGCTGATTAGCCAGCTCCAGACTATCGTCTCCATCAATACTCATATTCGTCATATCACACTAAATAAATATTCAATCAATAGTTCAATCAATCTAGCCGATCTATCCAATCGATTAATCAATCAATCATTGAATCAATCAATGAATAAAAACTCATCTACATCCAAATTTTGTATTCGTCATGTCACTCTAAACTCATCAAATACATTGACACAGCAATCAATCAAATCACCAAATATAAGCAATCAATCAACTATCCATACAATCGTCAATTAGTCATCAATTAATCAAATATTAATCAAATATAAATATAAATAAACTAATTATGGTTATCAAAAGGAAAGTTATCAAAAGGAGGGGGAGGGAAAAATATTTTTCAAGAAAATACATACCCCTGCATTATGCAACCAATCAGTCAAATATTCAAACACTCAACCATTCAATCTATTAACCAAACAGTGAATTAATTAGTCAATAAATCAATGAATCATCTAGTCAATGAACCACCTAATCACTCAATGAACCACACAATCTGATATCTTTGTTTACCTTCAAAAAACTTGAAGGGGCCATGGAAGGACGCCCTGAGAACACAGTTGAATTACTCTGCTGGAACAGGTCTCTCATTTGACCCTGGAGTTCATCTAAAAGAAAGAATTTAACATTGGAAATTAGAAGGAAGGTGGTGTCAAAATGAGGCAAAGGAAGGGAGGGGGTATTAAAAAGGCAAAAAAAGGGGGCGTTAAGTAGAGTCGAAGGAAGGGGGTGATAAAGACATTTCGAACAACTGCAGTGTTTCGGATCCATATCATTTTGATTCGGATCCGAGGTTACTTTTGATTCTGTGAATCGGATTTTCCCTATTAAATGTTATGCAAGGTTATAATTTATAAACTATAGTAATCCTAAAGTTAAAAATGTCTAGGGCATTTTAGGATTCAGGACATTTTAAGGATCCTGGATATTTAAAAAAAACCGGGAAAATTTCAGAATCCTAGACATTTTAAGGATTAAGGAAAATTTCAGAATCCGGGACATTTCAGAATCCCTGACATTATAGGGATCCAAGACATTTTAAGTGTCTAGAAAAATTTCAGAATCCGGGAAATTTTAATAACCTGGACATTAAAGGATCGGGGACATTTTAAGATCCGAGATTTTTTAGGATCTAGAACATTTTAGGATCAAAGGATCCGGAAAATTTAAGAATCCCAGACATTTAAGGATCCAGAGCATTTGATACCATTGAAACTGTAGCCGATAATGGCGAGATATCTTTAGACCAAGAAAAATATTATAAAAATGTATTATATTTTCATTTTAAAATAACAAACAAATATTATAAATACTAGAAATGCAAGGCACTTCGCGCCCTTCTTTCTAGGTTTTTAGGGCGCTTCGCGCCCATCTTCTATTTAAATTGTGAACAAGTTCTTTTTATTTACATTTAAAAACAAAGAAGATGATTGTTTAGGCACTGATCCCTGGATTCGGTGGTTAAACTGAGTGAGGACGACGACTTTCTGTACTAGCGCTGTGCTTAGCTTCCTCTCTCTCTCTACCTGTACTGTACTGCTGACGTGGACTATGGTTGGGGGGAGTTTTGCGGGCCTTCCCCCTCCTCCCGGTTTCTTCCTGTCTGGGCTCAGTCTTTATCTCTACCTCTCACGTACTACATCTTTTAAAAGGAGAGTAACAGTTTTTCACCGATTCAGTTATTTACCCACTTATTACTTATTTACTTATTATTTATTTACTTTATTTTTTATTAACTTTTCATTATTATTTATTTATTCTTGTCACAACTATCATCTAATCACTCATTATCTATTTATCTCTTTATTTATTCGACTATCCTATTATTTACTCCTTCTTACAGTTATTTATTTACCTATTCAGTTATTTACCCATTTATTATTTATTTACTTTATTATTTATTAACTTATTTATTATTTATTTAAGTTTTCCCAACAATTATCTAATCACTCATATCTATTTATCCCGTTATTTTATTTGAATATCTTATTATCACTCCTTCTTATTTTTATTCATTTACCAATACAGTTACTTACCCATTTATTACTCATTTACTTTATAATCCATTAACTTATTCATTATTTATTTATCTTTCCCAACTATTATCTAATCACTCATTATCTATTTATCTCTTATTCATTTGACTACCTTATTATTCACTCCTTCTTATACTTATTTATTTAATCTACCTTAACTCAACTTAATTCCCAATAAATCTCCACAATATGACCACTTTGATTTCAATTAATTTACTCCTACACTTCTTAACCCTATTTTACTTTCAGTCATGAGTAGAAGGAAAAAAGAAACCAACATAGAAAGCTCATCGGGTTTCTCTAACCCCTCCGATTTATCCCTAGAAGAACTTGAGTCCATCTCTATCTCCTCCCTCGAGTCAATCAATAACTCACTACTCTCCAACTTAAACTGGAACCAAGGTGCCATCGGAATAGTTTGCCTCACCCTCAGCGCAGACAACCAAAATGTAGCCTCAGGCAACCTAGTATTACTAGGAACTCTCTTCAACACTAAAACCATCAACGCCAACCACTTCTGGACCTGCAACTCTCCAACCTCCCTCACCATCAGTATTCCAGACCTTACCATCTTCACATTCCCCGACAGCACCATGGTCTCTAACTACGTACCCTCCTCGGCTTTCTCCTTCCACTTCTCCAGAAACAACTCCATAATGCAACCTTCAGATCTCTCTTCTACAGAACTTTCCGACTTCTGCCTCAGAGCCTTCGTCTACCCTACCTCCGACTCCTATGCCAGGATTCTAATCCTTCTCTTCCCCGCCTCCGAGGACTTGTTAGCTACCTTCCCTCTCTACTCAGACCACCGCTTTCCAGGCATAAAACTCTGCGATTACGAGTTTCCCTTAGCTCCAGCAGGTCCAGTCTCTCCCTTAAGAAGATTCTGGGGTTTCCCGCTAGTTCCGGCAATTTTCCCCTTTACAGAATGGACTCCGGACTCCCTACTACCTACGGGCCTATGCCTCAGATCAGCCATGAGCAGTATACTCAGATCAGCAGTACTCCCAGACTCCAGCTCTCTTGCAGGCTACAAAAAGAAGCTTGCTGATCTCCGTACTTCAGGTTCTTTCACCAGCCGTTCTAAGCTACCAGCTCTTCTTTGGCCTCAACTCAACTCTCCAGATGCTCCTGACCTACCCAGCACTGGTATGTAATTACGTTACCTAACCTTTTTTCACTTCCTCTAACATAACACTAAATTATATCACTCCAACTTCATTTCTATTCCCTATATTTACCTACTACATTTATTTCCATGCTAACTACCTTTGTACAACTTGACCTATTATACCAGTTAATTCAATTATTTACAATGTTAATTCTCTCAAGACTACCACTCAATTATTCACACCTACTATTGTACCTTCTCTTACTTTCTAGATAATTATTTTATTTATTCTTTAACATTAAATAAACTCTCTCAATTTACCACAAGAATTAATTCATCCTACCACCTACCATTACAAACTTTATTTTAACAGCCTTATTGCTATAGCTTCCATTTAATTTATAATTTATAGTATTAGTTTTCTATTCACAAGAAAACTCTTATTCACTTAACTCTTTATTACCTGGTCTCTAAATAGATCCCAAAAAACTTCATTTCACTTCCCAAGGGACACTCCACTATCTTCCCAAGGGTATTAATTACCAATTCCCAAGAGGTTTATTTGTCTTAAATCACAAGAGGATTACTTTAAATCCCAAGAGGATTATCTTTAATTCCCAAGAGGACTATTTTAAAATCCCAAGAGGATTATTTAAATCCCAAGAGGATTATCTTTAATTCCCAAGAGGATTATTTTTAAATCCCAAGAGGATTATCTTATAAATCCCAAGAGGACTAATTTATGATTCCCAAGAGGATTATTTATGAATCCCATGAGGATTATTTATGAATCCAAGAAGATTGTTTGGAAATCCCAAGATCTTTACTTTATAAATCCCAAGAGTATTATTCTATAAAACCCAAGAGGACTATAAATATTAACCACCTACTTCATCAACTCATACCTTAACTTTTTCAGTTTACAAACCTCAAGCATTAGCTGGATCCATGAAATACGGACCCACAGGACTTTTTACTCCAAACTCTTTTACTTCTATCACAACCAACCAAGAACTAACAACCTCCCTCGCCGTTTTAGCCAACCACTCTCTGACTAAGAAGACCTGGTCGTCTTACTCAACTGCTGGGAAAATGCTTCAAAACTGCTGCACAGAAACAAATACCCCCTTGTCCTACCCTCTACCTGAGAACACCGTCATCATCTTCATAGCCTGGCTCAACAACAGAGGTCTAAAAGCCAGTTCAATCAACAGTTACCTGTCAGGAATACGCCAAATCCACCTAAGTGGATTAGTCTCTAAATATTTACATCTACTCTCTACTCACCTATATTTTAGATTACTTGTCTCTTTAAGATTAGTCTCTAGATATTTACATCTACTCTCTACTCACCTATATTTTAGATTACTTGTCTCTTTAAGATTAGTCTCTAGATATTTACATCTGCTCTCTAACATCTCCTTCTCTTGAGTCACTGATTCAAGCTTGTTCTCAATTCCTAAGGAAACAAATCATTAAAGATGTACTTTTTGTTTGTTAATAACTCATGAATAAACTATAAAGACGATATTGGTCCAGGTAAGGTTCTGGTCTTACTCCTGGATCAAGCTGAATGACCCGATCAACATTTGTAGTTGAAAACTGGAGGTTCTTATTCTTTAAAACCCTTAAATTCCCATGTCTTATTGTTATTATTATTATTTCGTACGGCGCTAACCTTCAAAGAAGGTGTACACACTATGCCTCTCAAGGATTTCCTTTAATGTTTATTGGTTGAATGAAACCAACCTGCTAGATATTCTTCCCCCTTTTTTTTCTCCTCCAGAAGAAGGTGAAATCTGTCTCGCAACTCACTCTCCTAGAAAAAATTCAATTTTAAAATTTTACATTTAAAAATTTGGTTTGTTTAACACAACTAGTTTCAAGGAAGAAATTTTTTATCAGTCAACGTACCCGAGAAAAATACAACAAATACATCAATCAATCAACGAATTAACAGGGGTGTATATTTTCTCCAAAAATCACTTTTCTTCCCACCCCCTTTGAATTAGATGCTCCAGACCGCTATATATAGAGATAAATATTATATATCTGTACGATATAATACGAAGTGATATCTGCAAGATGCTCCAGACCACTATATATAGATAGATAGATGCTAGATATCTAAGCAAGATAATACGAAGTGATATCTACTAGATGCTCCAGACCGCTATATATAGAGATAAATATTATATATCTGTACGAGATAATACGAAGTGATATCTGTAAGATGCTCCAGACCGCTATGTATAGATAGATAGTGTCCGTGTTTGACAAACACGTATCCTTCTTCGCACTCAGCAATATCAACAGTAAAATAACTTAATGTCCCCATTTTAACGAAACCTATCTCTTTATTGTATGTCGAGTAAAAAATGTTGGTAATGGGATTGATTTATCTCCCTGGCTCCTCAAGATGTTTAAAACTTGGAAATACCTTGAGTATACATTTAATCCTGAACTGAGTTTCTCTGGAGAAAATGTTGGAGTCGACCAGCAACTGTTGAAGTAAAGAATGATTCCGTTCCACACTTCCCAAATACATGAACACTGTCACCAACTGTAAAACAGTAACATTAGAATTATTTATTACTAACAAAAAGGGACCAGCGTTGGCCGTGGAATTAAAAAAAAAAATATTTTAATTTTTAAGAAAAAAACATTTTGAAGAAAAAATATGTAGGAAAAAAAATTATACTTGAAAAACTTTTTTTGGTCTATGTTACCCCCAGGGTACCCATGGGTTCCCTAAAAAAAATCATCCAATTTTGTCCCACCGTTTGTCCAGCTATAGCTAACACTGGTTTCCACATGTACGTACATGTACATGTATGTATGTATGTATGTATGTATATATATATATATATATATATATATATATTATATATATATATACGCGTAATGCGTATTTTTAGGGTTTTATTCGCTGAATTCGTAAAAATACAAGACTTTAGATGAAAATTTATGAACTTTTGGGAAAACAATATCAAAAGAAAGAAAAAAATTGCCTTTTAATGTCCATTTTTTCATTGTTTTCCCCCATATCATCAAAAATCATCCCCTAACTCTGAAATATATACACTCCTGCCTATCAATCAATTAATCGATCTTGTTTGATCTGAGAGTGACCCAAGTTTGGGTTAACTGGACTAACAACAGAGTTAAACAAAGTTACGAAAGAAAATACAGTGGGACCCATAACTATACTATGGAGTGCGAGGACGACATTTAGACAACCACGTGTGTTTATAGTTTATTGTTTATTAATCCTCAGGAACTCGTATAGAGTTATTATGAGGATGATTTTGTTGCTGATTGTTCTTTCTGGTTTATTTATTTTTTAGATTTACATGTTTCTTACAGCAGCTCATAGATTCTTTCTATATTCGTCGTATCTTCTTTTGAAGATACTCACAGTAGAAGATTCTTTGATGACTGATGGAATCAAGTTCCATTTTCTGGTTTACCCGAAAACAGTAGAAATTACTTCTTACATTTGTTCTGGAGATCTGGATTTCAAGATTTAAAGGGTCTGTTGCATTTCTAGTCAGTCGAATGTGATTAATCCTGGTAAACCAAGTTGCTGGATTTACATTATTGAAACCTTGAAGTATTTTGAACGTTTATATCATGTCAGCAGGTTCTCTTCTTTTCTTCAGCGGAAGCAGGTTTAACTCTTTCAAGTTTTCTTCATAAGATTCACCATGAAGCCCGGAAATCATACGAATAGCGCGCTTCTGAACTTGTTCTAAGGAATTCAAATCAGCTTCAGTCCATGGCCTGTGATTGATGTTGTTATAGCAATTAGCTTTAGCAGTTTACGAACACTGCAAAATTGCTTTATTTCATGTTCATGGAACAATGTAAAAAGTCGTCTTCATTGTCTGAAATTGTATCGCTCTCTTAGTATAATATATACTAGAACTCACCATATTTATTGAGATATTTAACGATTCTTTTGCTGCTTGATCTCTTTTCTCCTGCTTCAATCTCTGTATCTCCTGTTCTAGTCGAACCCTGGGTAAATAAATAATTTAATCAACCTTTATTAATCGTTCATAACAATTCCCAACCGTTTTGAATCGAATCGAATCGAATCGAATCGAATCGAATCGAATCGAATCGAATCGAATCAAATCGAATCAAATCAAATCAAATCAAATCAAATCAAATCAAATCAAATCAAATCAAATCAAATCAAATCAAATCAACCGTTAAGATCCGTTTTCACAGTTCTAAACCACTCTTGACCACTCTAAATCGTTCTTAATTGTTATCAACTAACCCGTTTTCAAACTTTCCCGCCAACCCATTTTCAACCATTATCAACCGATCCCAACCATTCCCAACAAATCTCAACCCCTCCCAACAATTCTCAACCGATCCCAACCATTCCCAACAAATTTCAATCCCTCCCAAACATTCTCAATCGATCCCAACCATTCCAGGTCGTTCTAAATCACTCCCAATCGTTACATCTTTAAAGATTCTCAAAGTTAGAATTTCTTACTTTTCTATTTTTAAAGTCTTAAGTTCCATGGTTGAGTACTGTTTCTCCGTTCTCTCTGACTCCAGTTCCACCTTGAGTTGACGGAGTTCCTTGGTTCTCTCAGCCAACATTAGATTGGTCTGAAGAAACTTATTATATAAATCTTTATTGGTTCTAATGCGAGACAAAAAATATCAATAATGATCACAGCTGAGTGCATTAGATTAAAAATTGCATAGTTCAGATTGGTCTGAAGAAACAGTTCCAGGTTGATACAGGAAATTAATCGAAAAGACAAACTATATAGATACAAATATTGATTAAAGGTTTATTTTTGTGTTGGATATGATAAACAAGCAGTGAGAAATTCCTTCAATGCAGGAAATAAAATACTTATTTGAACTGTTTGTCTGCCCGGAGAACCCCAACCAGGAGAATACTGGAATACTAACCTGAGAAGAAACAGGACTGTCAACTGTTTGTCTGCCCGGAGAACCCCAACCAGGAGAATACTGGAATACTAACCTGGGAAGAAACAGGACTGTCTACTGTTTGTCTGCCCAGAGAACCCGAACCAGGAGAATACTGGAATACTAACCTGAGAAGAAACAGGACTATCTACTGCGTCTGCCATGAGAACCAGAACCAGTAGAATACTGGAATACTAACCTGAGAAGAAACAGGGCTGTCTACTGTCTGTCTGCCCGGAGAACCTGAACCAGGAGAATACTGGAATACTAACCTGGGAAGAAACAGGACTGTCTGCTGTTTGTCTGCCCGGAGAACCCGAACCAGGAGAATATTGGAATACTAACCTGGGAAGAAACAGGACTGTCAACTGTTTGTCTGCCCGGAGAACCCGAACCAGGAGAATACTGGAAAATAACCGGACTCCCGGGACTAGCTTTCTTAGGTCTATAAAAATACACGTTTATTTGAAAGGGAAAAAATCGATACTTACATTATTTTTACAATTAGCTAACAATTGCATTTTAAAAAAAATAAATAAAAAATTTACGTTTATCCATGTTGAAAGAACTGTAAACTACATTTCAATTGACTCTCCATGCAAAGATGGCAATGCAAGATTTACGAGGATATCCTTAAACGCTTCGTCTTACCAAGCATTAATTAGACATACATGTTCTTTGTTTATTTAATCTGTTCAGTTTATTTGCGACTTCTCTGCGAAAGTAACTTGCGATTTTTTGCTTACAGGAAACAATGGAGAAATAAATACACAGGAAAAAACGACCAAAATTTTAAAGAAATTATGAAATTATTTTTCCTATCCAAGCCATTTTCCTTCCTATTCCCACCTGGTGAGATTACAACTGGATATCCTGGCTCTAGCTGAAGGTTCAGCTAGGAGACCCGTCTTCTCCGATACCCGGGACATTATCATAGTAGTTAGAGTAGCAGAGTCTAGCATACTTTTCTGCTCAGACATAGCCTAGAGTAGAGGAGTATACATAAATAGATACTAGATTTCTAGAAAGATAATAGGAAGTGATATCTACAAGATGCTCCAGACCGCTATATATATAGATAGATAGATACTAGATATCTATAGAAGATAATACGAAGTGATATCTGCAAGATGCTCCAGACCGCTATATATAGATAGATAGATGCTAGATATCTATACAAGATAATACGAAGTGATATCTATTAGATGCTCCAGACCGCTATATATAGAGATAAATATTATATATCTGTACGATATAATACGAAGTGATATCTGCAAGATGCTCCAGACCACTATATATAGATAGATAGATGCTAGATATCTAAGCAAGATAATACGAAGTGATATCTACTAGATGCTCCAGACCGCTATATATAGAGATAAATATTATATATCTGTACGAGATAATACGAAGTGATATCTGTAAGATGCTCCAGACCGCTATGTATAGATAGATAGTGTCCGTGTTTGACAAACACGTATCCTTCTTCGCACTCAGCAATATCAACAGTAAAATAACTTAATGTCCCCATTTTAACGAAACCTATCTCTTTATTGTATGTCGAGTAAAAAATGTTGGTAATGGGATTGATTTATCTCCCTGGCTCCTCAAGATGTTTAAAACTTGGAAATACCTTGAGTATACATTTAATCCTGAACTGAGTTTCTCTGGAGAAAATGTTGGAGTCGACCAGCAACTGTTGAAGTAAAGAATGATTCCGTTCCACACTTCCCAAATACATGAACACTGTCACCAACTGTAAAACAGTAACATTAGAATTATTTATTACTAACAAAAAGGGACCAGCGTTGGCCGTGGAATTAAAAAAAAAAATATTTTAATTTTTAAGAAAAAAACATTTTGAAGAAAAAATATGTAGGAAAAAAAATTATACTTGAAAAACTTTTTTTGGTCTATGTTACCCCCAGGGTACCCATGGGTTCCCTAAAAAAAATCATCCAATTTTGTCCCACCGTTTGTCCAGCTATAGCTAACATATATATATATACAAATATTATTATTACTATTATATAGATTATTGTTATTCTGTAGATTTTTGTGTATTTTTCACCAAGTGCAAAGCTGAAATGATTAATCTAAACGTTATTTCAAAATGTAACTAAATTAAATAATATATATATATATATAGTACATGTAATGTACATTTTTCAACCCAATATAGATTTAAATAATAATTTTGGACTTTTGACCAACATTACCACATACGATTCCCCCAACAGAGGGAGGTTTTGTTATTTAACGTCCCTTGGGACAAGTATGTAAAATAACAACCTGCTCTGCGAAGTTTCCGATAAAAAATTCGCGCATTTTCATCTAAGCGACATTAAAATTGTGAACAACTACTTTTTCGGGAAATTAAAAATTTTACTTAACCACGGGTTCCCTCGACCAATTTTGTCTACGCTCTGGATGTTTTGTAGACAAAATTGGTCTTGAGAACCCTAGGTATAACTTCCCTGTAACGTAATTGTAAATAATTACTAGCTCTCCCACCCCACACAAAACCTTTTACTAACCGAATAAAATAGAACCATCTAAACAATGAATTACTATCTAATACTTCAAAGGAAAATATTTCGTGAATATGTTCACGAATTGCATTTGTTTTGATATAATGTTTTCGACTAGCTGCATAATTTAGTTTGTTCTTAATACACGCTACAGAAGAGTTCTTTCACGTAAGCTTTCCGCTCTTATCTAAAAATTGTGCACCGTAAAAATGTCTCATTGGTATTAAATGAACCCTTAAGTTTTTCTCTACAATACAGCACTTTAAGCTCAACTACCATGTCTTGCCGATCTCTCCCTTTGAGGCATTATTGTACACTGTATAGCAGTGCTTAGGATCCGGATCCGCAAAAAAAAAAAATTTATTTTTCAAAATGTGCAAAACAGCGTTATTTTTCCTTAAAAATATCCTATTTTGAACTGTTTAAAAGATTTTAAAAATATTCTCAGGGTCTAAGGTTTCTATCTTGCTCAAATCTTAACTCAGACCTCCACAGTGCAACCCCCCCCCCACACCCCCTTTCATAACTAGAGAGAGGGGTGGGGGAAGAAGTCTCCCTTTTCCCCATTGCAACTAAGCAAATTAAGTCTTCACAAATTAAGGTGTAAGGATGTGTAAGAGTGAGGGGGAAAGGGAGGGGGCGCACAAATGCTAAAAAGATACAGATGCTAAGGAACATCTTGTGTTCCCAGTATAAAGAGACTGTTCTCTGCACTGAAGATATTCAAATCAGACCTAAGGAGTTGCCTGAAGGCAGATATTCTAAACGCCCTCCTTCTACTAAAAGCTAATATGAATTAGACCAGTTTTTTTTCATCCAATGTAAAAAAAATCAAACTAGTAGAAAAATAGTATAAAAAAATGTTAAAATGTTAAACATTTTTTTAGGTATGAAAAGATATTTGAACTAAAATCCATTTTTTTGAAAAGCGGATCCAGGATCCGGATCAAAATTAAATGGATCCCAAGCACTGCTGTATAGTGAACACTGAGCGGTGTACAGAATAACCCAACCAAAAAGACTTTCTGGGGTGCTTCCTTGTGTACATCTCAGGGGTTGTGTATATTTTTCACAATTGACACCCAGGGTGAGGAGTGGGGGGAATGATTTTTCATGATTTTTTTTTTGTGGGGAGGGGGGAAATGAAATGGCATACTTTTTACCCAAAAATTCATTCATTTTCCCCTATTCAGCCCACAAAAATCCTAAAACATTATATAACTTCTGCAAAATATGTTTTTTTTTTATAAATGGGGGGAGGGGAAGAAAAATGACTTTTTAAGAAAACATACACTCCTGCATGATACATCTTGATATTTAAAGAAAATGTGTCCACGGAGAAGATTAAGATTTTACCTTAATAAGTTCATCCTCTGCCCCTTCCGCTGCCAGTTCAACACACACAATCGACACATTCGGGAATTCCTGGAATAGAAAATAAGTATATTTAAATTGATCCTTTGTCGACCAAGTCCGTTGGCATAAACAAGGGGGCGAATGTAAACCCATCCCCCCCTCCACCTAATAATCCATGGGAAAAAAATAAATGTGAATAAATTTTTATAAAACTATATATCATTCTTACTCAATTCATCGTAAATTTCATAATGAACGTGCTATAAAGCAATCAATAATATACATTATCGCACGTGAGCTATAAAGTTTTCGATTGGTTCCCGGATTTTCTCCAAAAAAAAAGGATATTTTCAAAATAATTGTTTTCCATTGAAATGAAAATAAAAGCTCGGGACAAAATTAAATCTAAAATGGCTTGAACTCCTTGAACCTTCTCGATAAAGAGAAAATTTCTGTCCAAAAACTTTAAAACACTGCAAACCAAAATAGCAGTGTTATAAATAGTTATAAGCTGTTAAATGCTTAATTTACCTTTTTTAAATTATTTTATTTTCTTGAAATGTTTGGCTTGCCGTTTCTTGTGCTAGATAATAATAATAAATGACCTTAAAGGGAAAATAAAAAATCTTGGGTAAAAGTATGATCAAGGAAGAAAAACTTGCTTTATAATGTACAATTTTTCATTTCCCCCCCAGATTTTCAAAAATTCTTGTAAATATACACTCCTTCCATCTTTTAATCCCATAGGGTTGAAGCTATTTAGAGCTGTTGTGCCTAATTTACCTTTTCTAACAGTATTTTTATTTCTTGAAATGTTTGGCTGGTTGTTTCCTGTGCCGAGGATCCCTCCAGAAACTGAACCATGAACCATGAGAAAAACTTTCCTATAAAATATAATTATTATTATTGAAATTTGTAATTAGTTCAAAGATGCACACATACAATAAAAGCTTTGCAAATGTAAAGTTGAAAAATCCATACAATAACAAAAATTTCTTTGTGATAAGGTTTACTCGGTGTATTTTTTCAAAAGTGATTGCATTCAGGTCGCACAACAATAAAAAGACATCAAAACAAGCGAAAATTAACTAAAAAGAAGTGGAGTCCAAAAATCCATCCCAAGGAAATTACCAGTATTGTAAAAGCATGCGGCAAATAATTAACATTAATAAATGTGGTGGCGACTGGCAATAAGAAAAACACTCACCGAAAAAAAACTTAAATTAAAATGACATTTGAGTATAAATTGAAATATTTATGGTCCTTAGAACACGTAACTTGATTGTTTCCAAGTATTCGTATACAACCCCCCCCCCCCCTCCTATTAATTTTGTACATGCATCATATGTACCACATAGATATAATTGGTCATGTAGCCGCAGCACCCGGCCCCCTAGCCTGTTCGGAACAAGACACGATGTCCCTTAACCTTTCCTAGCCGCAGTGCTCGGCCCCCTGGCCTGTCCTAGCCGCAGCACTCGGTGCAGTCCAGAAATTGTCTAAACCCTAATATACTAAATAAATAATAATTTTCCTGAAAATTGGTTGGTCATATACAAAACTGATAGGATTGGAGGGCCGCGCGGGGGGGGGGGTCCAAAAATCGTATTCTAGAACGTACCCCGTAATTTCATCACGCAGTATTTAAGGGACGCAACGCCAAATATTTGCCTTTAACATATTATTCCATTTCATGTGCCACCTTATAAAAGAAAATCAATTAAGCATTCTTTTTTACATACATAAGGGGGCCGGATGGGGGTGAACGGTATTACTGAAATGCGAATTTTTCTTACCGTTTGTTAGAGATACTAGAGTTTTAGTATTAAAACCATTGTTCACTCCCCTCACCCAGCGTAGGCATGTATCCGACCATGTAGAGCTCTCCTCCATTTTGTAACTCCAATCCAGCTATTTTTAATTATATCCGTAAGACATTTTTTCTAAAACTAAATTAACATTGTGATGTGCATTAACATTAAAAAAATATATTGTCAGTAAACTAGGTTTTTGATAAACATTTCTTTAAAAGTCAACTTGTTTATAAATTAATACTTATCCCGTACAATGCAGAGAGTGAGAAAAAAGTTTGAATTGTGCAGTCTGCAGACGAGACGTTATTTCAGTTGGTGATTCGCGCCTATAAATCGAAATTAAATCTAGAATGCCGCGTCATATGAGTCGTAGATTTGGAAATAGGGTAAAAATTGAAGACGACAAGCGGAAAATCACTTTTATTGAATGGTGTATTTGTGGACCTACGCCCATCAAAATTACATCAAAATAACGTCATATGACGCCATAAAAAATTTTGTGTTTTAAGATTTAAATTTTGCTATGTTTTCCATTTCAAATAGTTCACCGTAGTGCCCATACGACCTCCGAAAAATGACTATCCGACCTTCAAAAAGAGCCCATTCCGACCTACAAAATTGAGTGGCCGTCCGACAGCTACAATTAATTATTTCTACCCTAATGCGCTATAGGCATGACAAAAGCTGCTAAAGGTCGGATGGGCAAGAATATATGCCCATCCGACCTAGTTGTCGTAGGTCAGATGTTGCAGTAGGTCGGATGGGCAGTAATAGCGGATGGGCAATAGGATTTCATTCGGGAACCTATACTCATCCGACATAGAGAGAAAACTAACCTAAAATTGCATAAGATCTTAAAACAGGTTAGGTTATGTTAGGTTAAATTTAAAATGGGTATAGGGTGGAGTTAGATGGGTTATGACGTACGCGTTACGTTATAGTTATAGGGAATCGATATAAATCCGTCAGAAGTTGTCGTATCAATAGAACCAACGAGACTAACGATCGATCGAATCAATGTATGTTTTGAAAAAAAGCTATTTTACGTAATTAACAATTAGAATCTCTGTTTGTGCAGGGGCAAGTTTGGCCTGCGGTGCTCACCTTCTTTACCTATAGCTGGGATTTCTAACATTTGTGCCCCCCCCCCCCCGCACTATCCAAATTTCTAACGACGGGCCTGGGTCGCCTGGGTAGTGGGTACGAATTGCGGTCCTCGGACCAATCGTTTGTTACTGCTCCGTAGCAAGCTTGAAGTTTTCAGTTTTGTCATGTTTCGTAATCGTAACTCGTAGAACACCCTGTGAATATGTGAATGTTTACTTGATTTAACATTCGATGTTAAAGAAAGATGCCCGAAACCTCACAGAGTAAAAAAATAGGAATTAGAAACATTAGTTCCACATCTTTTGAAAATATATTTCGGTCTCTTCATTTCTAACGATATATAATAAAATCATCAAAATCAATATTTAAACTTTACACAAGAAACAAAAAACAAAAATACTTTATAAAAAAAAATTTAAAAATTGGTTTTCAAATTCACATAAAGAATGTTTAAAGACAATTGTTATATTCCTTGAGATTTGTTTCTGTCGTGAAGATTCCAAACAAACTCAGAACAGTTTAAATTTATGTTTTAGTATAAAGTGGGGGTGGGGCTCGATCTAATTAACGAACTTCTACGGAAAAAGAGGGTTGGAGAGCAGAGAGGGGGGTGGCTGTTAATAGGGGTATTTAAACCTTTTAAAAAGTTGAACATAAACAATATTCTTTTTTTTAAATATACTGAATTACAGTTTACAGCTGAATAAAAACTATTTTCTTCTGTTCAATCCTCTCAGTTCAGTCATAAAGTCTCTGATGTATTTAGATTCTCGTATACTTCAAGTACTTTTCTCACATGTAATACAATAAACTACATTTCTGGTCTTACAGTTGAAAGTTCCATTAATATCAATCTTCGTACTTGTAAAACTGTAAAACTGTTCCAGGCTCTAGGGACAAGTTGGGCAATTTAAACCGCAAGGTTTCATTCCAGGTATAAGCTCCTCTTTGGCCTCATTCTGGGAGGACTTGGAATTCTGAACCGGATGAGTTTATCTCTAAGATAATGAGGTCTCCTATGGGTAACCATAGGTGGGTTTTGGAAAACCTCTTCCATCCAAGGATCCTAGTTCATAGTTCTCCAATGTTTTGTATAATGGAGGAGATAGAGGGACAATATAACATGTTTATTTTTTAAAGTTGAAAAAGCTAAATTTCACAAATTTCCAAATGGGCATAACAACAACCATGTAAATGTGCTTTGTGAAGCTAATTGAACCTTCATTTCTAAACTCCATATTTTTTAGAGTAAACGGGGTATGATACTGATAGTTATCTATACTCTGAAACAGGGGCGGATCATAAAAAAGGGGGGGGGGGAGTTCAATCTCCAATAAATTTGTAATTCAGTGGGAAGAGCACCGAGCGAAACTTGGCGAGCGAGGAGGGGGTGTAGGAGGGGAAGCCCCCGCAAAATTTGTATAAGGAATTAGCATTTAAAGTGAGTATTTTAAGTGCTCAAAATACAAAATTACTTATAAAATATGTAAAATTATTGCTTAAGAAAAACTTTTATATCAAAAACTATATCGATGGTTTCGTTTTTTTGTGACTAAAGACTAAAATGTGCTTCAATGTTAAAATCATAGCAAATTCTTAAGATAGGAAAGAATCATATTCTATTACTTACAGGGTTTGTTTAAACTTTAAATCTATCGGATGGGTGAAAAGTAAAACTATTATGATTTATCAAAAGTTACGAAATGACTGCAACCCTCTGAGGGAACACACACACATGGGCAGCTTACAATATTTTCCAGGGGTGGGGGGGGGGGAAATTAAGTTAGAACGCTCGAAGCGCGCCAGTATTTTTTATCCCCCTCAGGCACTCAGAGGCGTACTCAGGGGAGGGGGCTATAATGGCTCCCCCTGGATCAATGAAATCTACGGTTTCAAGGTTTTTGATGGCCTAAATGGATGCTGAGCTCCCTCCCCTTCCTAGAAAGAAAGAAATATCAAGTCTCCCCTGAACATATTCATGATTTCGCCCCTAAATGCGCTCCTGACAAAGAAAACATTTATTTTCTAATTACTGTGCAAGATGTAAAAAAGTAAGTTTTTCCTCAGAAGTATGATTACTCATAAAATAATTTATACTTTATATGCAGATCCCAGAAATTTAAACATTTAAGCCAGTTAAAATTTACATTTATTAAGTAAAACATGGAGGTGTAGAGAACAGAGGTCTGGGGAAGGGGACTCAAAGAAATCATTTAAGGTAGCATAAACAAGATTTCAATTGACCGACAGGGTTACCCAAAAATGATAAGACTCTAATGACGACCTTAAAATTCTAATTTACAGCGATCTGTAGGTTATATTTGGTCTCTAAAATTATAGCCTGAAATTGAGAGTTACGAAACGATTTGACAAAATAATCCAAGGTTCAAAGTTGGAGGAAATAAAGACTGTATCCTTTGTATGTATCCCTTTACAACCGCGGAGAAATGAAACAGATCAGAGCTAACTGATTACACGCCACAAATTAGAATTGCCTTATCCCCATTGATCTTTGAAATCTTAGGTTGCAAAGATATGGAGATTAGAATATTAGAGTTTGTGGCAAGTGATTATTTCCCCTTTGCAATGCAACGCTCTGCTCACATATAATATAAGATACACATCGAATTGATCGGCATTTCTTCAAAACGTAAAACTCCACTATACCGTTTCTTTCGATTAAAACATTCTTTGCCACAAACTATGATTTTCTAATCCCTATATCTTATCCAACCAATGTCGTAGACCTTAGATGTTTCAAACTATGAATTGTGTTAGATAAAATAGTCCTAGTTTAAAATGTAAAAAGTTTGCAGCATCAGGTTGCAAAGATATAGGGCTCAGAAAATTTGAGTTTGTGGTAAAGACTCGATTCCTTTGTCTGAAACGAACCAAATCTATCGTTTAATATAAAAGATATTGACTCTTTGATCTAGCAGAATACATGTATTATGTAATCAGATCTTTAATGATACAAAAATCCTATTGCTTTCTCCAGGAGCTGATTACTCGCCTCAAATTCTTATTTTCTAGTCTCTTTATCTTTGCAATCTATTTAATCGTGCAAAACCTTCCATATTTAAGAATTTGACTATTTGATCTAGCAGAATTCATAGTTTGAAATATCAAAGGTCTACAACATCAGCATGATCTACTGAGATGAAAAGGTGAGTTATCAGTTTTTGTTGTGGTTTTAATAAATTGTGATCCAACTAAAGGGTTTTAGCAAATCCAAACATGAAAATGCGCACTAAGTAACGGAAGCAAAACTTTAAAAATCTCTAAATTCACCAGTAAATGTCAATATTTCACAGTTATAACACGCAATAAAGTTGAAAGTTGTAAAAATATTTATTTGAATATATTTTGTATTCATTTCACCAATAATATCACAATATTCACATAGATAGAGCGTTCAGGCGGGAAACTATAGACATCACATTGCAATTAGAATCTGTCTGGGTCCGCTCTACGCTCTTTTCTCTGATACTCCGTCGGACGGGTTTATCCGGACTTTTTGCAGATTTCTCAGGGCGCTGGACCTCCTTGGTCAGTAAGGGCTCAGATACTTTAATAGGTTCAGAAACTCTGTTAGGTTCGGAAACTCTGATAGGTTCAGAGACTCTGATAGGTTCGGTGACTTTAATAGGTTCAGAAACTCTGATAGGTTCCGTGACTTTGATAGGTTCAGAAACTCTAAAAGGTTGTGAAACTCTGATAGGTTCCGTCACTTTGATAGGTTCGGATATTTTAGTAGGTTCAGGAGTTTGGAAGGATTTGACGATTTTCCTAACATGAATATCCTCTAGACTGTCACCAGCTTGGGGTTCGGGCTTTTCCTCCTGCTCCTGACTCCGGGTGGGATGATTAACTGTTTGGCTAGGTTTCCAGGAAGAAGGAACAGTTTGCTCTGGTTTCTCCAAGGCCTGGAAAATCTTAACAGATTTTTCATCTTGTATTTTTGCAGCATGTGGTTTGTTGCCGAACTCAGGCTTAGCGCTCTGCAGCAGGTCGGAAGCAGACCTGGATCCGGTTCTTTCAGGTTTCACAGTTTCTATATTTGCTCCGGATAGGCTCCGGAACTGTCTCGGAGCAGGGACGGGTTTGATTGCTAACTTTGGTTTTGGCGGAATATTTAGAGGTTTATTGAGCTGAATCTCTTGAACTATGGAAACAGGACGGAAAGGTTTAGGACCAAGATGTAGGTTTTGGGAGCCGGAGAAACTCTTGGCACGTTCCTTTACGTTGATCAAGAGGTCAGATGTTTCGGGGACATCTTCTACATCTCCGTTCTGTTTCTTTATCTCACCAAGATTTCGGGCACTTTTAGACCTTTTGGAAAACGAATTTAAATCTTTTTCGTCTGTCTCCTCGGCTTTGGGTTCTCTTAAGCTTCGGATACTCTTTGATCGACGAGCAAACACGTTCTCCAGTTCATTTTCCCCCGGTTTAATTGCTTGACCAGGAGGAGAGGGAGGAGAGGAGACTGGTTTAAGGAAGAAATGCCTCGGAGCAGGAACAGGTTTGGGAGAAACTTGAGGCCTCTTGTTCTCAGGATTCACTGGTTCATTATTCTCCAATGTTTCTACAGAGAAAACGGAACTAGTTTCATGTTGGTTTGAATGAGTTTGCTCGGATAGTTTTTTGTTTTTCTCTCCGTGAGAATCTGGATCAGGTGATACAGATTTCTTAGTAGTTTCAGTGACAGCTGAACCTAGCTCTAGGTTGTCTAGAGTAGGCCTAACGCCCGGAGCTAACTTAATCGGTTCATTTTCAATATTTCGCGGATTACTTGCAGGAGTTGATTTTATTTCCTTGTGGTTAAAAATATTAGAAGTCATTGAATACTCTTTAATAGTATTGTCACAGTTCTCATTAGGTTTAAACGGGTCGCTGGGTTCATTAGATTCACAACCTTCTCTCAGGTCTGCACAAGGTTGAGACGACTCATCACAGAGACTCATTGATTCATTAACCTCAACCATCTCCGGGTTAGGAGATGTACTGACGGGGATATTCAGAGTTTCGTGGTTTAGCTCAGGAATGGAGATCTGAGTATCATTAGACTCAGAACCATCAATATTTTCAACACACTCCTTCGTATCATTAAATTGATCTGGCAAAGGACTGGTTGGATCATTACCAAGTTTATCTTTCTCAACTCCACCTTTGGTGAAGATAAATGAATCCTTTTCCTGTTTAGATTGCACCTCGTTAGGATAAAGATTTGATTTCTCCATATCTGTTTGGAACTCAGCGCTCCTTTTTACAATTTCGCGCCCCAGAGATTCTTCCCTTGATAAGAGATCAGGCCCGACTTGCATGTTAATATTATGGAGAGGGGGACTGGGCAGCAAGGTTTCTGTAACTGGATCAGATCTTGGAGAAAGTTTGTGTTCTTCCATAAGAATGGGTCTGTCAAGATAAGGTTGATCAAGTGGGTTGGATTCCTTCACGTCCGACTCACTTTGTTTTGGTTTAGAACTGGTGGGTGGGGAATCTGGTTTTCCTGGTATTTCACACTCTTCCGACACAATTTCCGGGGTTAACTGAAATCCAGTTGATCTCGACACCAAGTTCTCCGAAACCCAATTCGTTCTTGTTACAACTTGTCCGGACGGAGACGCTGGGATTATATCCGGGTACTCATACGACTGGATGGATAAATCTCTCATCTCAGAGTTTTCCCAATCCTGCTCATCCTCCATATCCAAGCTAGAGTACTGTAGAGACTCCTCTGAGTTTATATGAGTAGGTTCTTTCTGACTAGGGGTTAAAGAGTCTGCCTTGAAATTAGATTGGCAAGTGTCTGAAGATCTATAGAACACTGACGTCTTAGAATTGGTTTGGGACCAAGATTGAGTAGGTTGGGACAATTCACTGGGATCAATGATTGGGTTTGCTTGTCTTGCCGGAATGGAAGGTTCCGGATTAAATTGGTTTGCGGTTTGCAATGCTTCCTCCTCATTCGGAAGTATCGAAGATTTATTTCCTGCTGATTGAGGCACGGAGAAACCTGTGGATAAATTGTCTAGTTTTTTCCTTGAATCCACATCATTAATCAACCTGAACTTGTAAACTTCAGCTCCACCCTGAGGCTGAACATTGCAAGGTTCAGCTCCGGGTATTTCATCGAGTTGGTCAACGTTGGCGTGTGGGTTGTCCTGTTTTGGTCCAACCTTATAATTCTCCTGATCCTGGAGAAGGGCAGAATCTTTGTATCCGTCAAATATAACGTCGTAGTATGGATTGATATTGCTCGGGTTAGAATAGGATTTGGGACTCGTCCTATCTCCGGGTCCTGCTTGAAGCTGGGGATTAATTGAAGATCGTCTAGAGAAGTCGAACTCTTCCTGGTTTGGTATGAGAGCGCTGTTGGATACACGGGTTTGAACGAGAACATCTGGTTCCTCCAGTAGACTTGTAATTGTTTTCAGGCTCTCATTAGAGTGTGAGCTAGGCATTGGTTGATGATGATCTGCCAAACTATAAATTGATTTTTTCAAACCTTCATTAGCATAACTCCAGTTCTCAATAGAAGACTGGAACTTGAGTCTTGTATCGTTCTCTAGGACAGAACTCATACTCTTGTTCTTCTTCAGTATGATATCGTTGTTAGGAACGTGTTGGGTCGGTAGACTAGGGTATCCTGGTTCTCCGTACACGGAGTCAAGCTCACGGAAACTCTGAGATTTTGAGACGGATTTCTTTCGCTTGGAGTCATGGTTCATGTGCTTTTTATGCTCCGGGGGGCTGTGACAAGGTGGAGGGGGCGGAGCTCTAGCTTTATTTATAGGTTTGGACCTTACCGGAGATATTCTAGGTTGATCTGTTCCCATATCTTGACTAAAGGACGGATTTATCTTGAGCTCTGATACTGGAGATACGGCTAGTTGTGCTCCGGTCTGATTTATCTCCTGGTTTACTCCGTGAGGTTTGGTTCTGGGTGAATACTCCTCTTCCTGTCTATTGGTTGGGCTCGACTTCCCTTTACTCCGCTTTGACCCAAACAGCCTTGATAGGAATCCAACATCGGTCTCTGGTTTAGGTTTACTCTTCCTATCATCTTCATCCTGGTTCATGAATACAGAACTAGGAGGAGTTATTGCTCTGAAGCTTACATCCAGGCTTCGGGATTTATTCTTGGATTCTTGTATGTTTGCAGACCTTGGAGATGTTTGAACCTTCTCCTCGTGTAGAGATGGAATAGGAGGGAGTTGGGGGGCTCGCTGGGCTTTAGCAGGAGGACTCTGTCGTTGATCTTGAAGAGGTTCTTCTAGAGGTTCCTCTGCAACCTCCTGCATACGTCGAGGTCGACCGGCGTGGTTCCGTTTTGGCCTCACGGAGATTTTATGGCGAGCTGCGTTATGGCTCAAGCTTCCATCCCTGGGGGGAGATAAATCTCTCTCCAACCTGAACCAGAGATTAAACTTTATTATCTCTGGATAAAAACAAATCTAAGATTAAAAGTGTTTAAGATGCCCAATACTGGATTAGAATCCGCTCCGGGACTATTTATTACATTTGAAGAACGTATGTCGGAATTTAGAAAACTTATAGCTTTATATGTATATTGAATTTAAGGGATCTAATTACTCGCCTCAAACTCTGATTTTATCATCCTTAAATCTTTGCAATCTAATGATTATACCTAATTGACAATTACGATGATAACAGTAGCAGTATTTATAGCTTGAAATATCAAAGAGTAATTGTCTAGTTGTTTCCAAAGAAATAATGATTAGAAAATTCGAGTTTGAGGCGATTAATCAGTTTCTCTAAATCAATAAATAAAAAAAATTGAATCTTATTTCAGTGAAATTTTTATATAAAACAAATAAAGTTTATATTCTCTCCTATTGTCGAAACTGTCGAGGGAGAGCAAAGAATTGTCGCTGCAGGATGAATGATGTCGACTCCAGGCTTTGGGTCGACCCTCGTCGGAGAAATCCCCTAAAAGATTTTAAGATTTTAAAATTTTTTTATGAAACTATAGTGTACTTTATCATTCTTCCTCACTTCATCGTGAATTTCATAATTAACGTGCTATAGAGTAATCATCGTGCTATAAAGTTAAATTTGCTGCAACGTTATAACACGTGTAAAGTTTAGTTGGTTCCCGGATTTTCTCAAAAGATTTAGGATATTTCCAAGATAATTGTTTTCAATCGAAATAAAAATAAAATTAAAATAAACTTTATTTTTTTTTACTTCTGCTTAGTTTCAAAGCTTTGATCTAGAAATAGCCATTGAAATAAGTACACAAACGTTTCATAAAACTATACCTATAACACTATCATTTTGGCACGAAGTGTTATAAAGTTTTAGGACTTAAATTTTCTCTATATCTTGAAGGTTCTCACCTTTTCAGATTATATCTCGATAAAGAGAAAATTTCTGTCCAAAAACTTTATAACACTGCGAACCAAAATAGCAGTGTTTTGAATAGTTAATTTAAATCAATTTATTGTACTACTTGTATTCAGATTTATTTTGTGCGTCCTCTTGTGGCCCATAAAATCAGATTAGGACGCAGAGATTAAAAAAAAACGTGTTGTAAGAGTCTCTAAATTAAAACTCTGTATGTCCTATTTTCACACGACGAGTGTTTTACAAGTTTAATTTAGGACGCAAATGTTAAGGGGTATATAACCTTTAAACAAGGGTACATTGAGTCCCCTTTGCAAAAATCATGGTTTGTACTATCTAAGATTTAAATATTTAGTCATAAATTGTTCTTAACCTATTATTAACCGATTCAAAGTTCACTGTAACTTTTATAATAATTTAGTTTTAATAAGCATTTTATTAAATAATATTAAAAAGGTTATTCAGAACAAGGAAACCTTAGAAATCCCAGTACTAATAATTTTTTTTGTTATAAAAACCTAAATATAAGAAATATTAATTTTTTATAATTAGAATTAGAAGTTTAGGATTCAGAACATACAATCAAAGGATGAGAAGGGGAAGAAGGAAAGGAGGGGGGGGGGAGGGAGAGAGGGATAAGATAGAAGGAGAGGGAAGGAAAGGAAAGAAGGGTGGGAAGGAAAGAAAAGAAGGGATGGATGGATGAAGAGAGAGGAATGGAGTGGAGGGAGGAAGGAAGGAAGGGAGGGAGGGAGGGATGGATGGATGAAGAGAGAGGAATGGAGTGTAGAGAGGGAGGATGGAATAAAAATTAATGATTAGGAGGGTAGATCTACACCACAATATAACAGTTATCAATTTATTCTACCTAGCTCTCTCTCTCTATTAAACCAAATATGTTCATCATTTTCAAAATAGAAACTTCTCAGATTAAATCAAGAATTCAAATTTCCGAACAAAAATATTATAATTTGAAACTGAACCATCACTCCAAGGACACTATACAATGTTTTACGAAGAAACTAGAAGCCGGTTTTCATTTCAAATCTAAAGATCATTCTAAAACCTTTAAATTGAGCAAGAACATTTTATTTCTAAACACTCCTCGAGCCCTTATCATGTTTTAATCGCTCAAAAAATGCAGAGGACCTTGCATGGTTTTTAAACTAAGAACCGACAAAGAATGGGATTAAGAGATAAACAAGATACTTCTTATCTTCCCTGGATTTACTAACGATGCAGGGCAACATTTTGAAATCTGTCAAAAAAAAATGAATTATTTAATTATTATTTTGGTGGGGGGAACATCTTTAATTAAGAATAAATAGAAAAATTCAGATGTAACTGATTACTCTTCTCTTACTATAATTTTCTAATCCTTATGACTTTACAACCTGATGTCGAATAGACCTTTTGATATTTCAAACTAAGAATTCCGCTAGATCTAAGAGTCAAACTTTCAAATATGAAGGTTTACACCATCAGGCAGGGATAAGGAAATTAGAGTTCGATGCGAGTAATCAGTTTTTTAAAAATATAACTTTTCCTGATTTAAAGAGTAAGTCCACAAAAGGTTTTTTCTATATGTTAGTTCAAATAAAACCAAAAAATGGCAACGCTATAAAATATATTCGAATTAAATAAACTGACTGTATTGAATAAAATAAATATTTATTAAGATAAAAGATGAATGATTCGATCTTCCTGCATACACATTCAGACACAGATCAAACATTCAAATATAAATCATTTTAGGATTCATGATGATATCACGGCCCGACCATAATTTATACTTTACAGCCCAGAGCTATAACCTCCAGGCATTAAATACATGGCACAAAACAACTGCATGACTTGTGTCACTCGATTAGTGCAAACGTACGCCTTATGCATTTTTAAATCTCTAATTGACGCAAAAATGTGGTGACTAGAGTGTGTTGAGGGTTTGGCTTAGAATTGCATCACGTAGGTGTTAACTGTTAATTAGGAATCAATATATCAGAAGGAGAGGTTAGGACTAAGGAGTGGGTTATTGAGAGGAGGGGGAGGGGGGCGGGTTGAATTGAACCATGACGTTTCTGTAAATTCTTTTCCAGTTAAAATGAACAGGAGTGTATGATGTACAGTGTTAAGAGCAAAGGATGAAGTGTAAAGACGTAATCACGTCACCTTTATTGAGTCGTTGCTACACACTCATATTTTCTCATCTTTATATTTTTGCAACTTAATGGTGTAAACCTTTGATGTATTAAATTTTCAATAATAGATCTAGAAGAATTTATAGTTCGAAATATCAAAGATTTACGACTCTAGGTTACAAAGATATAAGAATTGAAAAATAGAGTATGAAGAGAGTAATTAGTTCCTGGGTTTAATTTTTTTCTGTACCTGGAGAGTTTTGAAGACTTTTAGGCAAACCCAGATCCTCATCATCTGTAAGATCTAAGGATCGTTTACTCAGAGTCCTTTCTTTCATCTGACGGTTTCGTAGCACGGCAGCTAGCTCACTCTGCAGTGCAATCGGCGGTCGGGGAACCGCCGTCGGTTGGCTGGGCATGTGAGTTGACGGGTGGCGGATGAAGGCGGAAGGAATGGCGGTTGAGCTGTAGGTTCGAGATGATACAAGGAGAGATGATCTTGTCTCTTCAGCCTGAAACAGAAATATTGTAAATAGGAAGACAACAAAATTATGCCCTCTCAAAATTTCCGTCTAATTCTATTTTTTGTTGAAATCTGTTTACATACAGGATGAGATTTTATAGACCGTAAACGTAATCGAGTTGAAGGTTGCGTTGTATTGCCTGTGTACAATAAACTTCCTTAAAAGGGGGTTTCCACAAATTCTGATCCTCTAATTCCTATTTCTTTGCAACCAAATGACGTAGACCAATGATATTTAAAACTATAGTTTCTTTCAGATCAAATAAGTCTGAAATATCAAAGGTTTACACACCAATGAGGTTGCAAAGATATGGAGATTTGAGTTTCTGGGGAAACAATTAGTTTCTTTCTTTTGGATAAAATTCTAATTCAAACTCTTGTATCTTAAGTCAAGAATCTTAAAAGAATTTTTCAAAAAGAAGAATTGTTGTAAAATAATATTTTTTGCTTAAACCGTATACTTCCCAATCCAAATTAAGGATATATAAACCATAATATCATGATGATATCTATAAAATATGTAAACTAACGAGCATGAAAAATATCATAAATTCGGGCACTAGATTAATTCAATTCTAAGACGGATGAGAATTTACGAGCGTGGTTCGGAGAATTTTCAATTTTCAAATCATTATAATCCATCTTAAAGTAAATTGGCTTATCATGCCGACTCAAAATCTATTTTTGTGTTTACGAGCAAACTAAAACATGAACTAACATACTTATATATTTTTAAATTTGGTGTTAATGAGAAAACTAGTACATGAACTAGACTACTCATATTACAGTGGAATCCATAAAACTGTGCAAAAGGAAGACGACATTTAAGAACTCTAATATGCAATTGATGTCGTTAAAAGCAAATACTTTTACCAGTAGCTTAAAAATAAACTTATTTGGTGAAATAGGTCAGAGGACACTGCACAACTGCGCAAATTCAAAATCTGATCTTGAGACTAACTATCATCTTCCTATTCCACAGTTTAATGTTCATTGGACAATTCAAAATCTGATCTTGAGTCTTACTATCGTATTCCTATTCCACAGTTCTATGTTCATTGGACAATCCAAAATCTGAACTTGAGTCTAGCTATCATCTTCCTATTCCACAGTTTAATGTTCATTGGACAATTCAAAATCTGATCTTGAGTCTTACTATCGTATTCCTATTCCACAGTTCTAAGTTCATTAGACAATTCAAAATCTGATCTTGAGTCAAACTATCGTATTCCTATTCCACAGTTTAATGTTCATTAGACAATTCAAAATCTGAACTTGAGTCTAGCTATCATCTTCCTATTCCACAGTTTAATGTTCATTGGACAATTCAAAATCTGAACTTGAGTCTAACTATCGTATTCCTATTCCACAGTTCTATGTTCATTGGACAATTCAAAATCTGAACTTGAGTCTAGCTATCATCTACCTATTCTACAGTTCTATGGTTCTTACGGAAATATATTAGGATTTTGCCAATTACTTCTATGAAAAAGAGCTGTTTACTTTCAACATTTGAAATCTTCAAATACAGGGCTTCAGAATGGTTTAATGGGTATAAAAGATTAAATGGCTGGGCCGACCGAAACTTTTGTGTTGAATACTCATAATCCCGATTGCTTGATTTCGATATTCACAGTGAGCACCTTTAATTTGAGAATCAATTCTTAATCTCTTCAACGATAACCATGCATGGATATCGAATAAAGATTAATCTGCTGATTAACAAAAGAACGAGATCAAGCATTGATCTCGATATCCAAAATACAAGAGCTCTCAGCTCCGGTAAAATTTTTAAGTTATAACCCCTCCCCCAGTATTTAAATTCATAAAATATAAAAAATATTTAATGGAACTTATTTTTTAATATAAAAATCTAAAATTTTTAAAATCCTAAACGTCATTTTGTGTGGCTTCAATATAAAGACAATAAGCTAAGTGTAACTTTGTAAGAGGATCAGGGTTTAAGATTAGGACGAGAACGAATACATATATATACAATATACATATATATATATATATATACATATATACAGGGNGGCCCCCCCTTAACCCCAAATATCCCATCTTCCTCTGGTAATTGAATCTGCAGTGAATGATAAATTGTCTGAACAGATAATGATTTGAAATTTGTAAATGACTTGAATTTCTAGACTCGGTACAGTGTCTAGATGCAATGCATTGCACATTAAGGAAGATTATATTCAAGCTTATAAAATACAATCCCCCCCCCCTTCCATGAGTTGTTTATACTTCTGGGTATTGTGGTACCTAGGGGGCCGAGCGCTGCGTCCACTCAGATTTGTATTGATGTGAAATGAAATGTGCAACTTGCAAGTATGAAATTTTGTTTTTTTTTCTGAGTCTAAAATGTGTGACTTCCCCCTTTCCCCCCACTCGCGTCGCCCCTAACCCCCTCCTTGGTGGAAGAGTGCACTTTGCTTTTATTTTTAAAGCAAATGCCCTAGTTATAAACATTTAAAATGTTTCCGTTATTGAGTTAATATTTAATAATGTAATTAAGTGTTAAACTTAGAATAGTATTTATTGCAATTTTCATGCGTTACATCTATTGATTCAATGAGTTACATCTATTGTTTTCATGAGTTACATCTATTACTCCGATGAATTACATCTATTGCTCCCATGAATTACATCTATTGCTTCCATGAATTACATCTATTGCTTCAATGAATTACATCTATTGCTTCCATGAGTTTAAATATTGTTTCCATAAATTACATCTATCGCTTCCAAGAGTTACATCTATTGTTTCCAAGAGTTACATCTATTGTTTCCAAGAGTTACATCTATTGCTCCCATGAATTACATCTATTGCTCCCATGAATTACATCTATTGCTTCCATGAATCACATCTATTGCTTCAATGAGTTACATCTATTGCTTCCATGAATAACATCTATTGCTTCCATGAATTACATCTATTACTCCGATGAATTACATCTATTGCTTTCATGAGTTACATCTATTGCTTCCAAGAATTACATCTATTGCTTCCATGAGTTACATCTATTGCTTCAATGAGTTACATCTATTGCTTCCATGAATTACATCTATTGCTTCCATGAATTACATCTATTGCTTCCATGAGTTACATTTATTGCTGCAATGAATTACATCTATTGCTTCCATGAGTTACATCTATTGCTTCCATGAGTTACATTTATTGCTGCAATGAATTACATCTATTGCTTCAATGAGTTACATCTATTGTTTTCATGAATTACATCTATTGCTTCCATGAGTTACATCTATTGTTTTCATGAATTACATCTATTGCTTCCATTAAAAGCCTTTAAAAGATAAAACTAGATTTTTGTTGATAAAAATTTCAAAGTTTTTCAGAACAAATTCAATATAATTTGAAACGTAATTTGTTTTAACTTAACCTTTTAGGAAGACTGTGACTGATTAATGAGAAAGTAAAAAGTTCTAAGAAATCATTTTAAAAGTTTATGTTTACTTACGCAGAAATAAAAAAATTTGCTGACATTTTGAATTCTGATATTTTGCAAGATTTCATCTCTGCAAAATAAAAATGTATTGCTTAAACATTAGTAATATGTCAGCGTATGCAGGCAAAAACTATGTTTTATTGATTTGGTATAATTTAGGCCAGAAGACGTGTGCATATATGATTATTTACCATGGTAAGGAGGAACATTACATTATATCTTTTTATTAAATCTTTAAGACTTAAGATATTTTATTGTTTTGATATTCAAAACGTATGCTTAAGAAGTTGTACATTGGTGCAATATACAAAGATGAATAATTAGCAAAGCATTTAAATCTTTGAGTAAAGGAATTGAGTCTTGGCCACAATCTCTGATTTTCTAATCCCAATATCTTTACAATCCAAAGTCGCAGACCTTAGATATTTCAAACTATGAATAATGTTGAATTAGATCATTTAAGTTTGAAACTACGAAAGTTTACACCATCAGGTTAAAAAGGTATAGGGATTAGAAAATTCTAATTTGTGACAAAAACTCAATTCCTTTATCCGAATTTAAAACATGTAACATGCCAATCAAAATTTTCTTTATCTTATGAAAGAAAGATTTTGAAAAATCCTGCAAAACCACATTTTTTAGATAAGTTATTAATTATCCATTATCAATTATTATTAAACACTAAAAGGGTGTTTAACCCCCCACCCCCTTTATAAACACACACGTGTTGATTACTTAAACTGAAGTTTAGTGTAAAAGCAATGATGTTAAAGATTTAAATCTCTTGAGAGAACATAATTATAGATTTGAAAGCACGAAATTTCAAAATTTTGTCTAAAATAATAAAAATCTGTTTTCTCTGGCCGCACTATTAAGTTTTGCTTGGGGGAGCTTAAATGTAGCGTTTACAGTAAACTTTTCATGATCGAGCTGGGAGAGTGAAGTAAGGGAAACAGGGGGGAAGTAGGGGATACAGGGGGAAGTAGGGGAAACAGGTTGGAAGTAGGGGATACGGGGGGAAGTTGGAAACAGGGGAGAAGTAAGGGAAACAGGGGAGAAGAAAGGATACAGGGAACAAGGAAAGGGTACATGGGACATGAAAAGGATACAGGGTACAAGCGAATGATACAGGGGACAAGAGAAGGATACAGGGGACAGGGAATGATACAGGGAACAAGGGAAGGATACAGGGGCAAGGTAAGAATACTATGGACAAGGGAAGGATACAGGGGACAAGGGAAGGATGCAGGGGACAAGGGAATGAAACAGGGGACAAGGGAAAGATACATGGGACAAGAGAAGGATACGGGGGATAAAGGAAGGATACGGGGGACAAGGGAAGAATACATGGAACATGGATTGGATACAGGGTACAAGCGAATGATACAGGGGACAAGAGAAGGATACAGGGGACAGGGAATGATACAGGGAACAAGGGAAGGATGCAGGGAACAAGAGAAGGATACAGGGGCAAGGTAAGAATACTATGGACAAGGGAAGGATACAGGGGACAAGG